TGAATGAAAAGAGGTGTTTGAAAAAGTTTAATAATATTTGCAATTTAGAGGGACATAAGTAAATGTTATCTTGAAAAATTAACTAGAACCAGATGAACTCTAAGGTGTCTTTTACCAATAAAATTTTGTGATTGTATTTTAAACATTATTATAGGGCGCCTGGGCAGCTCAGTTGATTGAGCATCCAACTTTGACTCAGGTCATGATCTCACGATTCATGGGTTTGAGGCTCCCTGCTGTCAGCACAGAGCCCGCTTTGGATCATCTGTCCGCCCCCACAACCCCTGGCCTCTACCCTGCTGTTTCTCTCTCTCTCTCAAAAATAAATAAACATTAAAAAAATAGTTCTTGTTACAACAGAATAATTTGGAAAACTTTTATGGCAGCACAGATATGAGATCATTTATGAGAGCAGTGAGTTTTCAAGTCCATAAAACTGATGTTGACCATATTTTCTACTTGTTTTCTATATTCTATATTTCTATATTTCTATATTCTATATTTCTATATTGTCAGAATATTTTCTATATTCTGACAATTCTACATTGTCAGATGTCATAAATTTCAAAAAGTTGCCTGCAATTTTAAGACTTATTAAAGAGTAATATAGAGAGGGAAAATAGTTAAGGAGACGGAGGGAGGCAAACCATAAGAGACTCTTCTTAAAGACTGAGAACAAACTGAAGGTTGATGGGAGGTGTGGGAGAGGGGAAAATGGGTGATGGGCATGGAGGAGGGCACTTGTTGGGATGAGCACTGGGTGTTATATGGAAACCAACTTGACAATAAACTACAAAATAATAAAAAATAAAATAACAGCTTTTAATATTAATGCAATTATATTAATAAATTATTTCTGAAAACAAAAAAGAATAATATAGATTAGAATTTCTTAATTTAAGAGTTTTTAAGTTCCTTAGAGATTTATGAATAGGTTTTCACATGTCTTATGAGCGCTAAAATTATAAGCAAAATTTTTAGGTAGCCTAAATTATAGTGGGGAGCTATGTCTTTCATAGTGAATAAGATGGATTAGATTTCAGCTCTTGTGGAGTCTATATTCTAATATTAGATAGATATTGAGTAAGCAAATAAAAATATAAGAAGGAAAATGTTACCTAACAGATGATGTAAATGTTTTGTAGAGAATTTGAATACAGTGACAGATTATAGAATGATTTAGAGTTCTTTTTCTTTTTAATTTTTAACTTTTTTTTTTACCCCCCCTCCACCCCCCACCCCGAGAGAGAGACAGCGTGAGCAGGGGAGGGTCAGAGAGAGAGGGAGCCACAGACTCTGAAACAGGCTCCAGGCTCCGAGCTGGCAGTCAGCACAGAGCCCGACGCGGGGCTCGAACCTACGAACCGCGAGATCATGACCTAAGCGAAAGTCGGACGCTTAACCAACTAAGCCACCCAGGCGCCCCTGAATGATTTAGAGTTCTGAGTGTTCAGGGAGGATATGACATTTTTGCTGGCATCTAAGTGATGAAGAGTGCCCTCCAATTCAGAGATTAGATGGAGAGAATACCTAGTACTAACATACTAAGATGAGGATAAGTGTTAGAAAATGGAGTTGGAGAGATAATTACAGGTCATATCATTTAGGGTTTTGTAAATAAGAATGGGAAGTCCAGATTTTATTCTAAATATAATAGGAAGCTTTTTCAGGATTTTAGCTGGATAATGATAAGAGAAATCAAAATAGAGACCTGAGGATTCCAGCACTTAGGAGTTTAAGAGACCAAAAACATAGCCAATGAGTTAGAAAGGATTAGGGGAATGTGGTTTATTGACCGTTTCGAGAAGCAGGGAGTAGTTGTCTGTTTCATAACTTATTGAGAAGACAAGATTAGAACAAGGACCTGACCATTAGATTTGGCAATAAGTTTAGCAAAATTACTGTGAAGTCAGTACGTATTAGGGAATGCAGCTTTGTGACATTGAATTTTGAAGGAAATCACAAGTAGTTCTTCCTTCTTTATATTTAACCTTTAATTTGTGAATAGTGATCTGGTTATGAATTTGGGTTTTGTGCCAGACTATTTAGGTTAATATCTTAGCTCTTCTTTTTATCCTCCTCAGTCTCTCTAAACTTCCATTTCTCATATCTGTAAGATGGGATAACAGTAATTACCTACCTTTTATAAGTGTTCTATGTAAGGCATTTAGCATAGTATGTGGCACATAGCTGTATTCATAGTAAAAATTATAACATGCTATAAAAACATTTATTATACATATATTTTAATCTTTTAAATTTTTATTTATTTTAGAGATTGAGGGGGGGGGGGCATTATCTTAAACAACCTCCACCCTCAGCCCAGAGCCCGACCTGGGGTTCAATCCCACGACCCCGGGATCATGACCTGAGCTGAAGTCAAGAATCAGACCCTCAACTAACTGATCCACCCAGACGCCCCCAACATTTAATTATGTTTTGTGCCCTTCCGGGTTTGTATAGTTTATAGTGTCTGAGAGAATGAAGTGCTGTATTTTATCTATACTTTAAGATGAACACATTTTAAGTTGTCTAAAAGGCCATACTAGTAAAAAGGAAGGAACCATTAAGCTCTCTTTGCAGAGATTAACACAAGTTCGGATTCTTTGCAGGCAGGCATTAATATATATATTGCCATGCTAATCTATAGAAAAGTTTATATGATGCTTTAAAAAAAATTTTTTTTTAGTGTTTTATTTATTTCTGAGAGAGACACCATGAGCAGGGGAGGGTCAGAGAGAGAGGGAGACACAGAATCTGAAACAGACTCCAGGCTCTGAGCTGGCTGTCAGCACAGAGCCCAACGCGGGGCTCGAAACATGAACTGTGAGATCATGACCTGAGCCGAAGTCGATGCTTAACTGACTGAGCCACCCAGGCGGCCCTATGTGATGCTTTATCTACTTAATCAGGTTCAGCAAACAGTTTATGACTAATATACAATTTCTTTTCTGAACATTAGGTCTTCTCTAAAAATTTACCCTTGTTTTTGAGCATTCTGCAACCCAGTGCACAAATCTAGCATTTGAGTCTACAGTTGAATAATTAAATGCTGTATTTTCTTTTTTATCTTTCCAGATGAGTTTTAATTTATTAAGTATTAATAATTTATTATAAACATACTTGTAGCTACTCGTAATGTATTTGATTAAATCCATTTTATTAGAAGTTTTTATCTTTAAAACATTATTGAAATCAAACTGTGAGTAATTTCTTTATTTGCTCATTCTTGTTACTGCAAGAGTCATTTTAACACACATGCAGATAACTTGGGGTGCCTGGGTGGCTCTGTTGGTTGAGCAACTGACGCTTGGTTTTCTGCTCAGGTCATGATCTCATGGTTTATGCAGTCCAGCCCCACGGTGCCTGCTTGGGATTCTCTCTCTCCCTCTATCTGCCCCTCACCTGCTTGTGTGCATGCACACAACACGCTCTCTCAAAATAAATAAACTTTAAAATTATAACTTGGGGGGCGCCTGGGTGGCTCAGTCGGTTAAGTGTCCAACTTCAACTCAGGTCATGATCTCCTGGTTCGTGGATTCGAGCCCCACGTCGGAGTCTGTGCTGACAGCTAACTCAGAGCCTGGAGCCTGTCTTCAGATTCTGTGTCTGCCTGTCTTACTGATCCTCCCCTACTTAAGCTGTCTCTCTCTCTCAAAAATAAATAAAACATTTAAAAAAAATTTTTTAAATTATAACTTGGTAAAATATGTTATAGCACACTTTGCAGAAAAACAAACAAAGCTACAGTTACTCTGAAGGCAGATACTATGACTGTGCTGTTTCACTGTTTCCCCAACAATTCAGTCTGGCACATAGTAGTGCTTAGTAAATATTTGTTGAATGAATGGATACATTTTTAACATACCTAATGAAAACTGTTATCTCATCATTAACAGGCTTGCATTTAAGGTTGAGTTGTTTCAATAAAACAAGAATTAAATGTAATGCTCGAATAAGGTATATTAGATAATTTGCTTTCTTAGTTAATTACAGCTTAATTGTTTTCATATTTGTAAGCAGTGTCTCTGGAGAATAATAAAATCTGTAACAACTTGTAATACTGTTATTTTGTTGTTCTGTATATCAATTCTCATTTTTAGAAACTACAGTTAGATAAATATAGTATGTATTGTCTAAAATATGTGCTGTAAGTTTTAGGTTGAATTTTATATATAAAAACAAATTTGTGTTAGACAGAGGCGATAAGTTTTGTAATTTGGTTTTTATCCTCTGCCAAAAAAGAGGTTAGGCAATGAAATTTGAATTATCATTGTTGGGGCATTAATAAAGTTGGGAGTTTAAAAAAATCTTTTGAAGTAAACAGTTGTACCGTGCAGTTGTTCTGACATAGCACACTGTAGCAACAAGTGTAGACCATAGCAGGGACTGAAAGATAACTAACTACTGATAAATAAAACTCTTTAACAGTATTTGAAACTCTTAAAAGAAAAAGACTTTAAAAAAGTTCACAGACTCTTTGTTATTTGATTACTCATGCCCAATTTGATGATAAAATATTTTGAGGTAATTTTTACTTGAGGCCAGTTTTTAAAAACTCTTTCTTGAGGTGTAACATACACAGAAGTGTATGTATCATCAGTGCTTGATAAATGTTCACAGCTGAACAGATTCATGTAACTGGCATGCAGCTCAAGAAACAATATTATTAGCCACCTTTAAAACGTTAATTCTTAAATATAAAACAATTGTAGACTTAGATAAACTTGTGAGATTTAGTTCCTGGGTCTAGCCTTATTATTAACTTCATTTGTTACCTTGGGCAAGTTATTTTATCTTTCTGGGGTCCACTCCATATGTCTACAGCAAGGGAATGAGACTTGAAGTTTTATTATGACTCTTATTCTATGAAAGTGCAAAATGATGGACATTAGTGATATAAATGTCATATAAAAGGTTTTAGGTAATAGAGTGTGAATGCACAGTTAATTGAAAAGGAAGGCACACTATTTTTTCTTTTTTTTTCTTTTGTTTTCCAGGTTATATTTCACACTATGTGCTGACTGTATCTACAGAAGATATTTAAAAAAAAAAAACTTTTTTCAAAGATTTTGATTCCAGTGGAATCTTTGCTTTAGATTATTTTGCGTGTGTGTGTTAGTGAATTGTAACTCCAGTTAACAATGCCTGTACAAGCTCCACAGTGGACGGATTTCCTCTCCTGCCCAATTTGCACTCAGACTTTTGATGAAACAATTCGAAAGCCCATCAGTTTGGGTTGTGGCCATACTGTCTGCAAGATGTGCCTGAATAAACTGCACCGCAAGGCTTGCCCATTTGACCAGACCACTATCAATACAGACATTGAGCTCCTCCCTGTGAACTCGGCATTGCTGCAGCTAGTGGGTGCTCAGGTAAGATGGGTGGCTTCTTATTCCTTTTAATCTCTAAGTGTATGTGTTTTCCTCTTGAGAGAAACCTGTTGAATTCAAATTGGGCAACATTGCCTTCTATGTAATTAGATAAAGTTCTCTATGGTACAGAGCCTTCATTTCAGTGGTTGGGAGATTTATTGTTGGAGTGTAGTGTTCCTCAGCCATAACAGTCATTTATTCTGGTGGTCATTGTCTCTCAACAGTCTTAGCTACTGAGATCATTCGAGAAACTTAAGAGGCAAGTCATAGGACTTTTTAAAAAATTTTTTAATGTTTTTATTTATTTCTGAGAGAGAGAGACCGCATGAGCAGGGGAATGTCAGAGAAAGAGGGAGACACAGAATCTGAAACAGGCTCCAAGCTCTGAGCTGGCTGTCACCACAGAGCCAGATGCAGGGCTCGAATCCATGAACTGTGAGATCATGACCTGAGCCAAAGTCGGACACTTAACCAACTGAGCCACTCAGACGCTCCCCCCCCCCCTTTTTTTAAGAGAGAGAGAGAGAGGATAAGCGGGGAAGAGCAGGAGGGGGAGAGAGAGAATATGAAAGAATGACTCCCTAGCAGGCTCCACCCTCAGTGCAGAACTCAACATGGGGCTCGATCATACAACTGTGAGCTCATGACCTGAGCTGAAATCAAGAGTTGGGCGCTCAGCTGACTGAGCCCCGTCTTTTTTGTTTGTTTTGTTTTGTTTTGTTTTGTTTTGTTTTAAGCACCTCTTTATATTGGGGAAACTATTACTCATAAAAACCATTGCATTTTACTTAATAGGAGAAGTGAAGCTACTTCAGATAATTTTACTTAGTAGATGCTAACTGAAATGAAAGATGAAGAAGATGAAAAAAGCTGTAGGGCACATAGCCTTTGGGAACCATTTTTTTTAGAGTAGGAGGAACTGTCCCTAGCTACCTAAATGTAAAAGCACGTCTGGCAGTTCTGATGGTAATATTCTGAAATTTTGTCTCAGTATTCTCAAAGTAGAGATCAGTAGTATCCTCAGAAGATCTCACAAAGACAAGGGAGTTGACTTTTTGGAAGCTAGATGTGATTTACTTAAGTAATCTGTTACCAAATTTGCATAGTGTGAGTCTGAATTGTCATATATTTGTCATAAGTCATTTTCTGAATAAATATACTAGAACTTTGGATCTGGCTCCATTAATATTTTCTAGACCAGTCTTGATAAAAGCTGCTGAAATGTAAGAAAGGCTGATATTATGTATGTTGGAGATAAAGAGAATAGAATAGTTTATTCAAAAGGAAAACTTCCTTTATTGATAAACCTCTCTTGTGATGTTACCAACAACACTATAAAATATTTGTCAAAAGGGACAGTGCAGTTGGTCCTTTTTCTTCTTATACTTAATTTTTCATTTCATAATCATTTCTCTTTTTACTTTGAAAATCACGCTATCAAATTTTGGAAACATTAAAAAAATAGATTTGATAAGAATAGTAAGTTTAGAAATGCACTATTTTTTTAATAGCAAATAACCACAGCTTGCTTTTTTTCATAAAGTTGTCTGAAGATGAACTCTTTCTACAAAATGAGTAAGACTATGTCATATCTTAACTGAAACTACTAATGTTTATGAAATTTGAGGATAGGGCATTTTAATGTGTAGTAGTCACTATTTTAGCCCTAAAGAGTTCCGTTGAAAACTGTTAGAGTTACTGCATGAATTAAGCAAAATTGCAGTATATAAAATCAACATGCAAAAATTAGTTGCATTTTTATACACTAACAATGAACAATCTGAAAGGAAACTAAGAAAACAGTTCCACTGTGGCAGCATCAAAATAATAAAATACTTAGGAATAAATTTAACAAAGCTGAAAGACTTAGGCACGGAAAACAGCAAAACATTGCTGAAAAAAATAGAGAAGACATACATACATACATACATACATACATGGAAAGACATTGCATGTTCATGGATTGGCAGACCCAAAGCAATCTACAGATTCAATGCAAGCTCTATCAAAGTCCCAGTGGTGTGTTTTTGTTTATTGGCAAGGGAAAAAAAAACCCAACCTAAAATTTGTATGGTATCAGAAGGGACCACAAATAGTCAAAACAATCTTGGAAAAGAACAAAGTTGGAAGAATTGTGCTCCAGATTTTGAAACTGCAAAGCTACAGTGTGATACTGATATACAATGTGATATGGATATAAAGACAAACATTTAGATCAGTCGAATAGAGTCCAGAAGTAAACACACATATGAAATGATTTTTGACATTGCCAAGACCATTCAGTGAAGAAAGGACAGTCTTTCCAACAAGTGATTATGGAAAACTTGGATATCCAAATGTAAAAGGATCAATTTGGGCCCCTACTTCACCCCATATACAAAAATTAACTCAAAATTAACCAAAGGCTGAATGTAAAAGTTAAAACTGCAGAACTCTTAAAATATAGGCAAAAATATGAACTATTGGGACTTCATCAAGATTAAAAGCTTCTACACGGCAAAGGAAACAATAAAACTAATAGGCAACTGACAGAATGGGAAAAGATAATTGCAAATGACATATCAGATAAAGGGCTAGTATCCAAAATCTATAAGCAACTCACCAAACTCCACACCTGAAAAACAAATAATCCAGTGAAGAAATGGGCAGAAGGTATGAACAGACACTTCTCCAAAGAAGACATCCAGATGGCCAACAGACACATGAAAGTTTGCTCAGCGTCCCTCCTCATCAGGGAAATACAAATCAAAACCACACTGAGATACCACCTCACACCGGTCAGAGTGGCTAAAATGAACAAATCAGGAGACTCTAGGTGCTGGCAAGGATGTGGAGAAATGGACACCCTCCTACACTGTTGGTGGGAATGCAAACTGGTGCAGCCCCTCTGGAAAACAGTATGGAGATTCCTCAAAAAATGAACAATAGAACTCCCCTATGACCCAGGAATAGCACTGCTAGGAATTTGCCCAAGGGATACAGGAGTGCTGATGCATAGGGGCACATGTACCCTAATGTCATAGCAGCACTCTCAATAATAGCCAAAACATGGCAAGAGCCTAGAGTGTCCATCAACTGACAAATGGATCAAGAAGATGTGGTTTATCTTACAATGGAATACTACATGGCAATGAAAAAGAATGAAATCTGGCCATTTGTAGCAGTGTGGATGGAACTTGAGGGTGTTATGCTGAGCGAAATATCTCAGGCAGAGAAGGACAGATACCATATGTTTGCACGTATAGGAGGATTAGGAGGAACTTAACGGAGGACCATGGGGGAGAAGAAGGGGAAAAATAGTTGACGAGAGGGAGGGAGGCAAACCATGAGAGACTCTTGAATGCTGATAACAAACTGAGGACTGATGAGGGTGGGGGAGGGGGAGGGCGAGTAATGGGCATGGGGGAGAGCACTTGTGGGGATGAGCAGTGGGTGTTATATGGAAACCAACTTGACTATTTAAGAAAAATTTTTTAAAAATAAAATGCAAAAAAAAAAAGAAAATATAGGTATAAGTCTTCATAACCTTGGAGTTGGCAGAAGATATGACATAAAAAGTACAAGGAATAAAAGATCAATTGAACTGAATCAAGGCTTAAAACTTTGTGCTTCAAAGGACACCGTCAGGGAGTGAAAGAATAACTCACAGAATGAGAGAAAATAATTGTAACTCATATAGCTAAAAGAAAGTTGTCTCGGATGTAATAAAGACTCTTAAAACTCAATAATAAAAAGACGTAATTTTAAAATGGGCAGAGATCTGAATCGATACCTCACCAGAGAAGATGTACGGATAGCAAATGAGCAAATGAAAAGTTGCTCAACATCATTTGTCATTAAGGAATTGCAAATTAAAACAACGAGGTACTGCTATACGCTAATTAGAATAGCTTCAGAGTCTAAAACACTGATAATACCAAATGCTGGTGAGGATGTGGAGCAACAGAAACTTCTTTATTGCTGGTGAGAACTCAAAGTGGTATAGTCATTCTATGATTCTGTTTTCACGTAATGTCCAAAATAGGCAAATCCCTAAAAGACAGGAAATCAATTAGTATTTTCTTATAGGTGGAGAGTTGGGAGGAAATATGGGAGGAGTGACAGTTTAAGAGTACGGGGTTCTTTGGAGGGGTGATGAAAATGTTCTAAAATTGTAATGGTTACACACCTGTGAATATACTAAAAACCATTTAATTATATATTGTCAGTGGGTCATCTACATGGTATACAAATTATATTTCAGTAAAGCAGTTATAAAACCAAAATAATACATTAAATTTTGTGTTAGTATGGAAAAGGTCTTTTGAAAGACTTCAGTAAATTTAGTGGGAGTTTTGATGTTACCACTGTTAGAGTAGCAGTGCATAAAATATACTCAGTAAAATTAATTAATTGTTTATTAATTAATTAGTGAGCACTCATAGAGACCTTCTCTTTTGACCTCAAGGTCCCTGAGCAGCAGCCCATTACTCTGTGTAGTGGGGTTGAAGATACAAAGCATTATGAGGAAGCCAAGAAATGTGTAGAAGAGTTAGCATTGTACCTGAAACCACTCAGCAGTGCTAGAGGTAAATCAGATGCAATTATCCATGCCAAGTAAATGTTTAATGAAAGATGTTTTTCTTACCATAAAAATTGTGGGCTATAAGTGAATGTTAATGAAATTCACTTATTTATTGTAAATCAAACCCCACTAGTACTAAATAATATCATTACAAACCATTCAAATAGATGAATTTAGAGTTTCTGTGATGTTGGAAACATTTGAATGAGTTGCAAAAGTAAGTGAGAATATACTAGTAGTTTCAGCAGGGCTCTCCATCATTTGACAACTCCAGATTGTCTGCCTTCTATTCAGTTTTATATGATGTGCCTTAGAGAATGTAATAAAATTGGAAGTTGCTGTTACTGCATTGCCATTATGGCTTATTATTTCAGTAGGAATGTAAAATTAGCCATTATGAAATAATATGCCAGAATTGTTAGGACCTCAAGATTTGGGTCTTAAATTAATTAATAATTTTGCCTGGCCTTTTTTCTTTGTTCCTCCATGGTTATGACGAATAATGATATATTTAATGTTGTAATGAATATTATTTTTACATGAGATAACAACTTTTGTATGTTTTTAAAATGCAAACTAGGCTGTTTTTGGTATCATTTCATCTACTGTTTATTTTAAATATCATAGTAGAAACCAGAACTATTCACATATCCATTAAGTCAGTCAGCCCATCAGAGGAAATTTTTCTGGACTTTTAAACCTAGAAATAACTTTTTGCTCTCTTTGAAAGGAGTGGGTCTGAATAGCACTACTCAGAGTGTTCTCAGTCGCCCAATGCAGAGGAAGCTGGTGACTCTGGTCCACTGCCAACTTGTGGAAGAGGAAGGCAGGATTCGTGCTATGAGAGCAGCTCGATCTTTAGGGGAACGAACAGTTACAGAGCTCATTCTTCAACACCAGAACCCTCAGCAACTGTCCTCCAATCTTTGGGCAGCAGTCAGAGCTAGGGGCTGCCAGTTCCTTGGACCAGGTATGTGATTAAATTTGATATTTACTAAGCTAGTAATTCTAAATGTAATGTGCAATGTGCAAAGGCTAGTTCTTTGCAGTATTCTGTTGTTACCAAATAATATCCCACTTGACGATCATGGCTTGGGTAATTCCACGTCAGCTTTGTAGTGTACTTAAAACTTTTCTGTAAATGTCAAAAGTTTGCATTTTGATAGAAATATTTCTTGAATGTGTTAATTTTTTATCTGTTTTCTTAAATAAAATATAGAGTGTAATATAAAATTGCCCCAAAACAGAAAGTATAACTGTGAACATGTGTTTTTTTGTGTTGTGTTGCCCATCAATTAAGTGGCACTTACAGAGCTTTTTGAGTATTGAGAATTGCCCTTCTAATAAATAGATTTATCTTAACCTTGCACATGATAAACTTTGGTTTTGCCCAACTTTTCCTAGCAATGCAGGAGGAAGCTCTAAAGCTAGTTCTCTTGGCCTTAGAAGATGGTTCTGCTTTGTCAAGAAAAGTATTGGTTCTCTTTGTGGTGCAAAGGTTGGAGCCACGGTTTCCTCAAGCCTCTAAAACTAGCATTGGGCATGTTGTCCAGCTCCTTTATAGGGCCTCCTGCTTCAAGGTAAGAACCAGTGCTATGTGGGCTTGAATGGAAACATTGTCTTTTTCCCAGACTTAAATAGTAAATCTTTGAGTTTAATGTTACATTGAATTTTGTATGTTAAATATTGAACAGCATAAACTGAGGCTTATATAGATTTTTATATTTGAGGAGAGTGTTAAATTGTGTCCTTTCCCCACGAAGACTATAAGCTGAATTGGTCTGAGCAGAGAGTCACTGAAGTAGGAGGAAATTTTATTTGGCTCTTTGCTCCTGCTGTAATTCCACGTATACCTATGGTACTGGAGCTCCGTTTGCCATCTTGTGTTCAGTGTAGATAGTGTGGCTGGACATATTCTTTTGTATCCCAGATTGAATCAGCACTAAAGCATTGGTGCTCATTACATATCTTGTTTTCCTGACTTCCTAATGTCAAGGCTTCTTCCTCCTCTTCTTTTTTTAATGTTTATTTTTGAGAGAAAGGGAAAGGGAGCGGGAGCGTGTGTGCGCAACCCAGGGAGGGGCAGAGAGAGGGAGACAGGATCCTAAGTGAGCTCCCAGCACTGACAGCAGAGAGCCAGCCCAATGTGGGGCTTGAACTCACAAACCACAAGATCATGACCTGAGCTGAAGTCAGATGATTAACTGACTAAGCCACACAGGTGCCCCATCTAAGGCCTCCTACTTTTGACACAACAGATAACTAGTACTTCATGAACCAGGGAGGCATTTCTCTAAAATTTTTTTAATTCATAACAGCCTATAAGGAAATCCGTTCCTGGGTCACCATGTCCCCTCACCATGTCCCCTCATCTGACACTCAAACTAAAAAATCCTACATCCTATTATAGTCTATTCTCTCATTTTCTGAGAAAGATAAAAATGGTTCACAGAATCAGCAGGAAAGCATACCAATTTAATTAGAAAAAGATTCTTAAAGCTCTAACTAAAGGCCAACATTCATAAGTTTCTTTCTAGAGTCAGATTAAATATATACTGAAAATGAGGTGTGGACTCCAGGTTTGTACCCAACCCTGTCTTTGCCTTAGGTGTCTCTGGAACTGTGAGAAACACTAGCCAAAATAACTCCCAACTGGTTCAGATTGTCCCTAAATATAACTCAACATTTGTCTTAATGATTGTAATAACATGATTTTACAGTGTCACCTGGAATACATTTTAGAATGTCTGCCAGTTTCCAGACTTCTCTATTCTCTCCTAACAGTACCAGACAGATACAGTATTGCAAGCTTAAAAAATAAAAAGAAAGAAAAGGAAATCTAGTCTTCTGTGAAGAATAAGCGATCTGAAAACCCCAGAATACCTACATTAAACCCTTCTCAATCCTAATTAGAAGCATTAATAGTAATTAAAGAGAGACTTGGAAATTTGTAAAAATCTAGTTATTTATCACTTGGGTCATGATTATTTTTCTTTATTGTCTACCTGCTTTCTTCTCTTGCCAGTAATAATGTACTATTGGTACATATTAACTAAATTAAACATATTAACTATTCATTATTAACATTTAATATAATATTAACAATTATTAATGGTTAAATAATATTAACAATTAAACATTAACTAAATGTAACTGATTTAATTCTCTAAGCATTTTCCTTCTTGCTTGCAGCTGTGTGTGTCCATGTGTTGTGTTGTAGCTGTGTCCTTTCAGCATCTCTTGTATTTCCATTTGAAAAACCTTTTCAAACTGGGATAATTCTGATCCTTCTTGGTACAGTTGTAGTTCCAGGACGTACTTTAAGCATTGCATCTCTTAGAAATCTTTGGTCTTTAGTTAAGAGAGAGTTTTGAGAGCCAAGTCCAGAGACCCCTAATATATCAGGTAGAAAACAGTCTACAATTTAATAAGGTTTAGCCTATATTGAGAGGATGTTTTTGTATATACCCATATACATTTGGTCATTTGACTTGCCTTTGAATAGTGGCAAAATACATTTTGTTTTTGTGACTCTAGTTCTTGGGTTTTTTTTTTTTTTAATCTATTGGTTGTTCCATGGACTTACCTAACAAAATTTAAGTTAGACCTTCTTGTAATAAGAATGGAATACATTTTAAAATATAATACCAGTATGTTCTAGAAATCTTGACTAACATCTTCTGTAGTTTTCTTTGATGGAAAAAAAAATGAGAATTTTCTACTAGAGGAAATTGAGTCCTTATGGGAATAAAGGCAATGTTTTTTAAAGAAGAAAAAAAATACTGATGTATTTATTCTGAAAAAAGCAATGTGTTTTTCTTCTTCATAACTGTGGATTATTAATCTTGGGCTTGCCTGGCATTGAGCTAGCTGGTACTCTGAACTGATAGAGCATCATTCAGATGCTTGTGTGATTTTAACTATCATCTGTGCTTAGCTTAATTTTCCATGGAGTTTTGCAGGCTAGGCCTCCATCAGAAAGTGTAAAATAATAATGATGATGATAATATCTTTTAGTAATTAAAATGATTAAAACTTATTGAGCTCTTAGTATGTGCTAGTCAGTGCGTTAACTTATTAACCATCATAATTGACATTAACTCATTTAATTCTCTAGGCTTGTTGAGGTAGGTACCGCTGTTATTTTTTGTTATATTGTTACATTTTGAGTCAAGCTGGATTTAGGCCAAAGGCTTAGCAAATCAAAGTAAATTAATTCTTGTCCAGGGTCACCTGTATTCTAACATATTTTAGAATATATTTTACCTTGTTAACACACACACGTATATATAAAAAAGTAGGCTCCACACACAACATGGGGCTTGAACTCATGACCCTGAGACCAAGAGTCACATGCTCTAACTGACTGAGCCAGCCAGGCACCCCACGTATTTTTTTCTTTTCAGAAATGCATATGCAGGGATGCCTAGGTGTTTTAGTTGGTTGAGTGTCCTGGTTTCAGCTCAGGTCATGATCCCAGGTTCATGAGATTGAGCCCCGCATTGGGTGCCATGCTGAGCATGCAGCCTGCTTGGTATTCTCACTCTCTCTCCCTCTCTCCCTCTCTCCCTCTCTCTCTCTCTCCCTCTCTCCCTTTCCCTCTCCCTCTCTCCCTTCTCCCCTCTCCCCCCCCACTTGTGCTCATTCTTTTTCTGTTCAATAAACATTTAGGGGAAAATGCATACACACACTCCTACAATTTAAACTATATATGCGTTAAGATATATCCAGTTTTGGGACTTTGCTCCAGCACATACTCATTCATTCTTTAAGACCTATTCAGAAGATTTTGACATCTATAAAGGGGTAATGTTTTACAGGCAAAACACTGGGTTCATTTTATTTTGCTATTGTTGCTAAAAGAAATTTGTTATATTAAAAATTGTTCTCTGTATGTGTTCATATAAAATACAGAGTCAATTTGTTTCTTACCTGACTCATTATGAGATTATGTGTGTCATACTAGGTCACCAAACGTGATGAAGACTCTTCTTTGATGCAGCTGAAAGAAGAATTTAGAACATATGAAGCTCTGCGGCGAGAACACGACTCCCAGATAGTGCAGATTGCCATGGAAGCCGGCTTGCGGATTGCACCAGACCAGTGGTCCTCATTGCTTTATGGAGACCAGTCTCACAAGTCTCATATGCAGTCAATCATTGACAAGGTAGACGCTTTTTTTCCTTACTTCTTAGACCAGTCTTGGAGTTTTGGTAATTCATGAGTTAGTAATTTATTCATTTAACAAATGTATGTTAAAGTTAATACTGTAGTCAGGCTCTTCCAAGGTATGTTATCTGTAGCTGAGTCTCACAACTAGTCACATCATTACCAGTTCATATAAATTGAATTGATGTAAAATTGACATCATTCATATATGATTTCATTAGCATTCTAATGCTTTATCCAGCACTCTTTAGTATTCTTCTGAGGGTCTTCCATCTCTTATTATTGTTGCCTCTCTTCCTTCTTTCTTTGTTCCCTGAGTTTTAATCATTGTGTTAGTTAAGCCCCTTTTCTAAAGACCTTTATCGTCTTCCTATAACAGCCATTTAATGGTCTGGAAGATGTATAAGTTGAGATTTCTTACGATTCTTAGCCACAATAATTTCACATAATAAGTTACTAATTATTCTAGGTTTGTTCAACTTTTCAGTAAACTTACTTCAACTTTTTCTGTTATGATAAAAAGATCCCTAGAATACATACACATAGGCTCCATTGTTTATTACTGACTCTAAGAACTAAATTTTGTTAAAACTAGGGTAATACTGTAATTGTTTTCGTTGTAATTCAACATGAAATATATGAAAGTGTACAAAAAAAGTCTTAAAGCAGCATGTAAATACATTACATTCAGTAATAGCGTTAATTTTTATTATTTTACCTTAAATACTTGTTTCATTAGAGTCCAACTCACATTTAATTTATAGAAATTAAATTCAAGATATAAGTGTAGTCTAAATATAATATACTCTTTAACACTTACTTACTGAGAGCCTACCAATGCTGGTGGCTTTAAATAATCAATTAATCCTTTCCATAGACCTGTATTATGCCTTTTATACAAAGACAAGGAGAGGTTAATTTCTCCAGAGTAACATAGGTAATCATTGCAGGGTTGGATTCGAGCTTGAGTAAAGTGACTCTAGAATCCATGTTCTTAGCCATCTTTCTTTCCAGACTCTTCTGCCACCTTTATTTATTTATTTATTTAATTTATTTTGTTATTCCTAAAGATAGGATTCTTTGAGCATAGTGTAGTGTATTGATGTCAAAGGTTGTGAAAGTTATAACTGCCTGTTACATAATTTCCAGTATAATATATATTACGTGTTTTGTCCTATAAATCTTTTCAAGATACTTTGGCCCAAAGTTTACCTGCAACTCCTGGGTCTGAAATTATGCAGCTGGCCGATTATAATGTTTTGAAGTCTTAGTAATGGTCTCTTATAGGAGTAGCTCTCTATCTCTGAAGAGAAACTTGGCTTGCTTTTAAAGATTCTCTAAGGAGGTTGACCTTTTGTATGAACTAGACTATATAGTTTATCCTGTAACAGTATCCTCACATCATGAGCAGTAGTTTGAATTTAATATCCAGAGACCTTACAACGAACTGGTAAACAAACTTTCGGTGTATGTAGCATCTTATTATGTAGAGCCGTAGAATTTTCTGTGGTAATGAACATGTTCTATAAATGCACTAATTGGCGATCACTAACCACCCACAGCCATTTAGCAACCAGAATGTGACTGTGCAACTGAAGAACCACATTTTTAGTTTATTTTATTAAATTAAACGTAAATAGCCACTCACTGCTAATAACTACTGTGTTGGACACTGCAGATAATTTATTAAAAGTGATATGAAAAGCAATAACCATAGTAAATTACTGGACAAAGAAACATGAATTATCAGTTCACAAAGAGGAAATATATCTAATTGATGAGATAGAATTCAAATCTAATAATCATTAAATACACATTTAAAATAGTGACATAACAAATATTGCCTATTAATTAATATCAGCCAAAGAGACGTACACTGCTGTACATTGCTGATGGTTTGTAAAATGTATTACAGATCTTTTGGGAAACAGTTTGTCACTGAATAAAAACAAAAGTTTCATGTCTTTTAATCAAATTTACTCTTCCCAGGAACTTACTTTAAGGAAATAATCCAAACTTCCAAAAAGATTATGAGTTCAAAGGCATTTAATTGCTTTAAAAGTCAGTGAAATATTTTTATTAAGTCTTGGCGGTAGATACATGGGTGTTGTCGTCATATTAGACACTTTGAAATATTTCATAATTAAAAAGGTTAGCAATAGGGGCGCCTGGGTGGCTTAGTAAGTTAAGAATCCGACTTTAGCTTAGGTCATGATCTCGCGGTTCGTGGGTTAAAGCCCCGCGTCGGGCTCTGTGCTGACTGCCAGCTCAGAGCCTGGAGCCTGTTTCAGTCTGTGACTCCCTTTCTCTCTGACCCTCCCCTGCTCATGCTTTCTCTCTCTCTCTCTCCTAGAAATAATAAAACATTAAAAAAAAAAGGTTAGCAATATAAAAATGCTTTTTAAGTTTATAAATGACTGATTATGAGTGTATAAAAAGTATGCAAAGATGAAAAAATTGAATAAAGGCATGTCAGCATTCATGGTTCTGAATGATCTCTAATTTTTCATGTTTTTTAAAATGTATGCTTTTAAAAAATTACCTTTTAAAGAGTGATATTTTGGAGGTGAAAAATTCTGATCTATATTAATAAAGTACATAGCTAAATTTTCCAAGTAAGAACCTTTAGTTTACTATAATCTAATCAATTTCCCCTCTTAAAGGTCATATGTGTGTCCATCTCAAGAGAGTTAATATAAGAAGTATGTCATAGAACTTTAGGAAAATACACAATTGATAGCTTCCAAGAATCCCAAACCACTGTATGATTTATTTTTTAAGCTGGAGTGGACTTTTGAAATTATTTAGTCTGTATAGCAGATGGACTTCAGATTGAGTCTGCTATGGAAACATAGCATGGAAATATAAAATGGAAAGAGTATACTTCCAAATTGAGGAATTGAGGTCTCGCATCAGAGGGAAGAAAGTTACAGTATGCCACGCTGTGAGTGCAGGCGAGTGCGGGGTTTGTTTAGGCAGTAGGTACTCCAGTCTGGCCAAAGCATGAAGTATGTGGGAGGATAAAATTAAATGTAATAAATTGCAAAAATGATTGCAGTATTTCAAATAATCTTTATTTTAAAAAGATTATCTAGTTTTTAGAAAGTTAATATTTGTCTTTTTTAAGTTGCAGACCCCAGCCTCTTTTGCACAGAGTGTTCAGGAACTAACAATTGCTCTCCAGCGAACTGGAGACCCAGCAAACTTGAACCGACTGAGACCCCATTTGGAGCTCTTGGCAAGCATTGACCCTAGTCCAGGTAAAGAAACCCAAGGAAAATAAGGGGTCTGTCCTGTGTGTGTCTCAGTGCTGCTCAGTGATTCTTTTAATTTTCTTTTGTTGCATTCCTCAAGAATTTCCCAGAGTAGTTATTCCAGACCTTTTACACAGTATTTAAATTTCTGGCCACAATCTTTTTATCTCTTTGTTGCTTCAACTAACACTTATTTAATACTTTTTACTGTACTGCTCACTTCACCAGGAAAGTAATTCACTCTGGGATCCTTTGTGTTTTCTCTTTCTTGCGTCATAAAATTGTGCTGTACTTAAATTCTTGCCTGCTTTGACAAAACTCAAATTCTCTCATTTTTATTCATACCCACACATTATATAGAAATATAATTTAGGTATATATATATTAAAATGTGACCAAGAAAATGCAACTAAGGACATAGGAAAAGTATGAATTATATATATTATATATTATACATATTACATATATATAATTATATAATTCATTCATTAAGTATCCTGTCCTGCATATTTTTACTTTATCGGCCCTTTTTTACTCCTTCCCCTTGACCTGAATATCACTCAGTCTTCATTTTTCACTTCTAAGGTATTTTAAAATCCTCGTGTCCTATTGTCTCTGTGTTTTATTACTGCTACTGGGTTAAAACTCTAATCATTCACTAGCAATTTCCCCATTTCTTATTCCCAAGGGGCTTCTTCTAGCATTTGATGATGATATTGACTAATTTCTCAATATAGAAACTTTCCTGGGGTGCCTGGGTGGCTCAGTCAGTTAAGCATCTGACTCTTGATTTCAGCTTAGGTCATGATATCTCGGTTCATGACATCAAGCCCTATGTCAGGCTCTGCTCAGAGAGCATGGAGCCTGCCTGGGATTCTCTCATCCTGCATGTGTGCTCTCTTCGCTCTCAAAACAACAAAAAACAAAAACAAACACACACACAAAAAAAAACAAAAAAATTCCTAATACCTTGTTGTAGATAAAGATATGCTGCTTCTGTCTTACTTTGACTACTCTTTCCTCTCTTGCCCACTGAGAAGTAGGCTGGTTGTATTCTTGGAATTTTGTTTTCTCTGCATTCTGTTGATTACCCTCTGCAGAGAACAGGTTCCCAAATATCTCTATCACTGTTATCTCTTCATCACTCCAGACTTACTTTCCAAATGCTTTCTGAGATTCTCCATCATCTCCTCTTTGTTCTTCAACACAAATTCTTCACTTAATACCAGCTCTTCTTCCTGTGTTCTGTTAAATGACTGCACCGTCTGAGGTATTTACCCTTAAAGCCTGAGTCTTTTGTCCTACTTCATATCTTTTCCTTCCTGTTGCTCTACATACTATTTTCAGACAACAGGATCTATCTGTTTTTTCACAATCTCCCTCTATCCCATTCCTCTTAATACTGCCTGGGTGAGGGCTTCATTACTTTCCCGGAGACAAGCTGACTTCCATTTTCCTCTATTATTTTAATTCTTCCAATTCAGTCCACTTACTGCTGCAGAATAAATCACATCTCTGATCTTATTTCTATGCTCATAAACTTTCAGTGACACCCCATTGCTTATTGAATAAGGTTTGGAACTCTTGACAGTGGCATTCAGGGCCCTCTAATTTTCTATCAACCTTCCTTGATGGGATTTACTACCACAATTGCTTCATCAAACTAGATCAGATATATTCTTAGAACTCAGTCATTGTCTTTTTTCTCTACTGTGCTCCTTATTCGCAGCAGTCAGAGAAGAGCACTTCCACTTAGTCACTGCCCCACCAACCACCAACCTGTCTGTCTGCATCCCTGCCAGTGTATTCGGCTCTCCTTGTGTGACGGTGGATAAGTTGTGCCTCTGAGCTAAGGCCTCTCTCTCTTCTTATGTTCTAATACCATCTTGACAAATATGTCACTCCAATATCCCCTTTTATTGTCCCCAAGTTTTCTTCTCTCCTAGAGGATTTCTGTCAACATACAAACACCCGAATATTCCTGTCATCATAACCCACTTTTGACAACATTTGCCATCTACCCATCTCTCTTCTCTTTTTTTTTTTTTCCTTTGCATGCTGTTGGACTCCCTCCAATCAGGCATTTATCTCTACTGTTCAACCATAACTTCTTTGTCAAGGTCACAGGTGACTTCATGTACTGAGTTCAGACATCATTTAGCAGCATCGAATGCTGTTGTTCACTGTCTGTTCCTCTTTAACACTTTCCTCACTCGGCTTCCAGGCCACCACACTTTCCTAGTTTCCTTCTTATTTTACTGGACCCTCCTTCTGAGTGTCCTTTGCTAATTTCTCATCTCCATACCCTCTAGTTTTTGGATGTGCTCCCATACTTTAATCTATGTATCTCTTTCTGTTTATACCCATTCCCTAGATAATCTCATCTAGTCTCATAGCTTTAAATATTATTTATATGACTCACAAATTTACTATATTTCATCAGTTTTGAAGCCTACATTTTTTTCAGATCTTAGCATTTCTGAAATTGGTATGCATCTGAAAGTAATGACATATGATAATCTAATTAATAATATTTTTTATGTTTTGGTGGCACATAAAATAATAGTGTATGTTGCAGTTAATTTAGAATCTGTGAAACCGGGGCACCTGGGTGGCTCAGTAGGTTAAGCATCCAACTCTTGATTTCAGCTCAGGTCATGATCTCACAGTTCAGGAGATTGAGTCCCACCGCATTGGGCTCTGCATTGACAGAGTGCCTGCTTGGGATTTTCTCTTTCCCTCTGCCTCTCTTTTCCTCTTTCTCTCAAAATAAATAAACTTAAAAAAAAAAAAAAAGTACCTGAGAAACATGTATTATATCCAGTCCTAACTTTCTTCCTGAATTCTTTTTATATCCATCTTCCTGCTCCATATCCAGCAGGTCTACTTGAATATCTAGTAAGAATCTCAAACTTAACCTCTCCAAAAGTGAGCCCTCAGCACTGCTCCCACCTCCTCCCGTTCCTTTTAGTGGCAGCTCCAACCTTCTGTTTCATTTTCTCAATGCAAAGATGTTAGAGATCTCCGTAACTCTTCTTTCTCTCATATGTACATCTGATCCAATAGCATACCCTGTAGGCCCTCCCTTTAAAATGTATCTGCTTATCACTTTCACTGCTACCACTCTCCTCTCTCTAGGGATTATGGAATAGCTGCCTGTTGTCTGTCTGGGTTTAGCATAGGAGCCAGAGTGATTCTGTTAACCCTCTGCTCAAAAGTTCTCCAGTGCTTTACCTCATTAACTAAAAGTGAAACTCTTTCCCATCACCTACCAGGCCCCATGTGATCTGGGGTTCTTTACTTCTTTCTAACCTTGTCTCCTATTCTTTTCCACCTGATCATTTCTTTCCAGTGTCACCTCTACAGAACATTTCAGGCATCCTACCACATGAGAGCCTTCTCACTTATTCTAACCTTTGCCTAGAATATTTTTCTCCTGATTTATCCACAAGGCACATTCTCGCCCTTCTTTCAGGTCTTTAATCAAATATGACCTTCTTAAAGAGACCTTCTCAGGCTACACAGTCTAAAATTTTACACATACCCATCCCATTCCCCTTCTTTGCTCCATTTATCCAAGCCATCATTATCTAAATAGTTTGTATTTTGATGATTATCTTATTATTGTCTGTCTTCTCTCTTTGAATAAAATGGGTTTTTGTTTTGATCACTACTGCTTCCCCAGCAGCTAGAACAATACTAAGGACTTACGAGTAGGTATCTGAAAATTCCTTTTGTATGACTTTCTCTTCACCTTCTCTACATCTTCATTTTTTTCAAACGAAACTCCATGCATCCTTCAAAGCCTCATTCTCTTGCTGTCACGTAGAAGTCTTTCAGAGTGTCTCTATCAGGAAGTTATCTATTTGTGTTCTCACTTATATTTTCTCTTAGAGAACATATTTATGGTTAACTTTTCCTTTATAAAATCACAGTGCTGGCACTGGACAGATACTTAGTAAATGAAGAAGATAAGTGGTAGAGTTGCTTCATATAGTAATTCTTCTATTAAACTTTGTAAATAGTCTGTTTACCAATACTTGATTTATGCAGAATTTCAAAATGGACATTGCAGATTGGCCAGTCCACTATTAAGTTTTGTTTGGTCCACACAGTATCGGTCTGCATAATATTCTGAATTTTTTTAGATCCTGACACCTACAGACTTGGTAATTTTACATGAAAATCTGAAGCTTCAGTTTTCCCTCAGGAACAGTGTATCTGGTAGCACCAGCCTGGCATCGTCACACCACAGCAACCAGCTGAAGTTCACTGCTAGTCACAGCCTTCGGTGTGGGCCATACTCTAGTTCAGCACAGCCCCTGTCACTCTCTGTTGTTCTTTCCAGCACTAAGGGTCTTATGGCGGTCACCATTTAACATGTGGCCTACTTAATTTCTCTGTTAGCTTCTCTGTCCCTGTAGTTACTTCAGTTTACAATCCATTCCTTAAAATGATGTTTAGGTGAATAAGTTATTACCTGAAAAGCTGCATGAAACCTAACTCAGTTTCACTGACATTCTGACACTCACTCTTTTATTAGTTTCGTATTGGGGAAAACGTCAAACAGCATTGCTGAAATTTTTTTTGAACTTGTTATGTAGATGCTCCTCCTCCCACTTGGGATCAGCTAGAAAAAGGGCTGGTGGCTGTGCGGACGGTGGTCCATGGGCTGGTAGACTATATCCAGAACCATAGCAAAAAGGGAGCAGACCAACAGCAGGTAAGGGGGATGTAAGCCACCATGGATGTTGTGACAGATACAAGCAAAACTGACAAGACAACATCAGTATTTTGAGACTGTGACTGTAGAACTGTACATTAGTTTAGTACAATTTAATCAATAGTCTAGTAATCAGGTGGCAACAATGAAATTAAATAATCCTGTTGGCCTAATGTTATACTGGAGTCATTTTTCACATTGGATATATAGCAGCATTTGATTCTGTGCTAAAGGTATATATTTAAATAAATGATTCTCTTTGGTTACTATTCTATTTCAGCTTGACAATGTATATCACTTTTTAATGCCGTATCTAGTCCAGTACTGTTCACATATTTGTCAATACTTTTTCTGTAGCAGTATTTTAACATTTTTTATTCATATAATGTCTCTTGTGCCAGTGGGCCAAATTTTCCTCAAATACTTTTAAATGAAGTGTATGGCAATAAAATGTAATAGTTTATTATGGTTAGAGTTTTAAGTTTTATTCCCAATAATTTTATTTTCCCCTCAGGATTTATGTTAGATTCATTAGATCTTCTGTTTTGCACTGATAAGCTTGTGAAGTTAAAACTTCATATTAATTTATCTAGTTCAGGTAAATATTAACGATAGCTTCTTCGAGGCGCCTTCGTGGCTCAGTTAGATAAGCGTCTGACTCTTGATTTCGGGTTAAGTCATGATCAGGATCATGAGTTCAAGTCCCATGTCAGGCTCTGAGCTGAAGAACATGGAGCCTGCTTGAGATTCTCTCTCTCCCCCTCCCTCTCAGCCCCCTCCCTCAGAAATAAATATTAAAAAAAATAAAACACAGTAGCTTCTTCAAGATTTCCTTTTTCTTTGAGAGGCAACAAGTATTAAACATACCCTACTGAGTTGAGGGGTGCGCCTGACTGGCTCAGTCAATAGAGCATGTGACATTTGATCTCGGGGTTGTGAGTTCAAGCCCCATATTGAGTATAGAGATTGCTTAAAAGTCTTTTTAAAGACATACTCTGCTGAGGAGAATAATATGGGTACAATTTTCTTAAATAAATGTAGACCAGATTTTATTTTACGATGAGAAATAAAGATTAAAAACTTATTTTAAGTCTGTGTTCCATTAGATATCACAATGAACACAACAAAAATAATAAGATTAATTTATGTTCTGTCAATAAGTGATCAAATGTATCAGGTTTCATTTACCTTAGTATTGTGTTCGCTGTCTCATTAACTGCCAAGTCCATCCTCCTTGTCTTGTATGGGAGTTGAAAATAGGAAGTTTCATTTGTACTGTTAGAGATATTTTAAGTTCTTGATATGTTCTTCTGCATATAAAGAATTGGTTGCAGAGTATTTTTCAGTTATAGAGCCTACTGTAGATTTGGGTTGTTATCATAGGAAAACAGTCGTAAATAGAGCTATACCAAGCGTTGTCCATAACAAATATTAGAACATATGTTAAACATTTGAAGGTCCTAAACTCCAATGGTTGGTTTATCCAATATAGAGCCTGGAAAGAAAATCATAAAATCCTTATGAGGTTTAATCCAGGATTTATGTGATGTTATATGTTTGAAAAGTTATGCCAACACATGAAAAACTCAGGACTCCATTCTTTAATTTTTTGACTCTGAAACTTCAGACAGAGTGACTTTCTATGTGTCTTTTTGCTCTGCACAGTCTAGATAAATGTGTGGGTTACTCTGAAATCAGTGTCTAATGTTTTAACTTTGGTCTCAGCCTCCACAGCACAGCAAATATAAAACATACATGTGTCGCGACATGAAGCAGAGAGGAGGATGCCCTCGTGGGGCCAGCTGTACATTTGCACACTCACAGGAGGAACTGGAGAAGTAAGTGTAAAGGTCATCAAACTCAACCTTCTAATAACTTGTTAGGAAATAAGGTAGAGTTATTAAGTCGAATAATTTGTCACTGTCAAGAAACAGAGAATGAGTAGTTCCATTCTCTTTAATGAATCAGAAATAATTAGAAAGTAATGCAGAATTGTAAAAATTAAGAAAACTGAAGCAGCTTCTTCAGCTTTCATTACATCGTGCCCACAAATAGGAAACTTAAATATGGAAGTGAGTCATTTGCACTCTCCCCTAAAAATTAAAACTCTTAAGAATTTTCATCAATTCTAACCGATTTTAGCTAACTGAATAATGTATTTCCAATAGAAAAATTTGCCCTTTGCTCAGTTCAAGAAATTATTTTAATGCCAGGCTTAACTTCACAGATTCTTTTTTTTTTTTCTTAAATAGTTTATTGTCCAGTTGGTTTCCATATAACACCCAGTGCGCATCCCAACAAGTGCCCTCCTCCATGCCCGTCACACCCCTTCCCCTCTCCCCCCACTCCCATCTGCCCTCAGTTTGTTCTCAGCATTCAAGAGTCTCTCATGGTTTGTCTCCCTCCCCCCAACTATTTTTCCCTTCTTCTTCCTCATGCTCCTCCGTTAAGTTCCTCCTAATCCATCTATATGTACAAACATACGGTATCTGTCCTTCTCTGCCTGACTTATTTCACTCAGCATAACGCCCTCAAGTTCCATCCACATTGCTACAAATGGCCAGATTTCATTCTTTCTCATTGCCATGTAGTATTCCATTGTATAAATATACCACATCTTCTTGATCCATTCATCAGTTGTTGGACACTAAGGCTCTTTACATGTTTTGGCTATTGTTGAGAGTGCTGCTATGAACATTAGGGTACACGTGCCCCTATGCATCAGCACTCCTGTATCCCTTGGGCAAATTCCTAGCAGTGCTATTCCTGGGTCATAGGGGAGTTCTATTGTTCATTTTTTGAGGAACCTCCATACTGTTTTCCAGAGGGGCTGCACCAGTTTGCATTCCCACCAACAGTGTAGGAGGGTGTCCATTTCTCCACATCCTCGCCAGCACATAGAGTCTCCTGATTTGTTCATTTTAGCCACTCTGACCGGTGTGAGGTGGTATCTCAGTGTGGTTTTGATTTGTATTTCCCTGATGATGAGGGACGCTGAGCATCGTTTCATGTGTCTGTTGGTCATCTGGATGTCCTCTTTGGAGGAGTGTCTGTTCATATCTTCTGCCCATTTCTTCACTGGATTATTTGTTTTTCAGGTGTGGAGTTTGGTGAGTTGCTTATAGATTTTGGATACTAGCCCTTTATCTGATATGTCATTTGCAATTATCTTTTCCCATTCTGTCAGTTGCCTGTTAGTTTTATTGTTTCCTTTGCCATGCAGAAGCTTTTAATCTTGATGAGTTCCCAGTAGTTCATTTTTGCTGTTGATTCTCTTACCTTTGGCGATGATGTGTCAAGTAAGAAATTGGTGCGGTTTAGGTCGAGGAAGTTGTTTCCTGCTTTCTCCTCTAGGTTTTTGATGGTTTCCTGTCTTACATTCAGGTCCTTTATCCATTTTGAATTTATTTTTGTGTATGGTGTGCGAAAATAATCTAGTTTCATTCTTCTTCATGTTGCTGTCCAGTTCTCCCAGCACCATGTATTAAAGAGGCTTTTTTCCCTATTGGTTACTCTTCCTGCTTTTCAAATATTAGTTGGCCATATATTTGTGGGTCCAATTCTGAGTTCTCTATTCTATTCCATTGGTCTGTGTGTGTGTTTTTTGTGCCAATACCATATTGTCTTGATGGCTATTTGGGGTCTTTTGTGGTTCCGTACAAATTTTAGGATAGTTTGTTCTAGTTTTGAGAAGAATGCTGGTGCAATTTTGATTGGCATTGCATTGAATGTGTAAATTGCTTTGGGTAGTAATGACATTTTAACTATATTTATTCTTCCGACCCATGAGCATGGAATGTTTTTCCATTTCTTTGTGTCTTCTTCAATTTCCTTCATAAGTTTTCATCATACAGATCTCCTATATCTTTGGTTAGGTTTATTCCTAGGTATTTTATGGGTTTTTGTTAACTTCAAAGATTCTTTTAGGGGCGCCTGGGTGGCTTAGTCGGTTAAGCATCTGACTTTCGCTTAGGTCATGATCTCGCAGTTCATGGGTTCGAGCCCGCGTCGGGCTCTGTGCTGACTGCCAGCTCAGAGCCTGGAGCCTGTTTCGGAGTCTGTGACTCCCTCTCTCTCTGACCCTCTCCTGCTCATGCTGTCTCTCTCTCTGTCTCCTAGAAATAAAAAAATAAAAAAAAAAACATTTAAAAAAAAAGATTCTTTTAAATCTCAAGGGTGAAATAATACCATCGATACATTTTCTGACACATACTAGAAAGAAAAGAAAACCTCTTAATTTTTGTGTTAAGCCAGTGTAACGCTGTCACTAAACCTGACAAAGGTAGCACAATTACAGAAACTATAAATCCATCTCATATTAGTATTTTCCCAAATATTAGAATTCAGTAACACATTAAAATAAATAAATCCTGGGGCACCTGGGTGGCTTAGTCGGTTAAGCGTCCTACTTTCGCTTAGGTCATGATCTCGCGGTTCGTGGGTTCGAGCCCCACATCGGGCTCTGTGCTGACTGCCAGCTCAGAGCCTGGAGCCTATTTCAGTCTGTGACTCCCTCTCTCTCTGACCCTCCCCTGCTCATTCTCTCTCTCTCTCTCCTAGAAATAAATTTTTAAAAATTTAAAAATAAATAAATAAATAAATCCTATGCTAAGTGCAAAGGTAAGAGAATATAATATTATAGATTACAGAAGGAATTCCATATGATCCCATGCAAAGATACCAAAGGCACTTGAGTAGAACCCAGTGTTCCTAATAGATGAAAATCCATTAATAAGAAGAAAGATACTGTAGATACTTTCTCAAATTAATTGTATCTCAGTAGCTGCATGATAGCATGATGCTCGATTAGTAAAGTATTAGATTCAGCCTAGTTGAAATTGAGATGTAAGGCAAAATTTACTGCTAATGAGACCATTATTTAATATTCTGGAAATGGTAGCCACTGTACCTACACAGAATAAAACTGCCATGATCACTACATGGAAAAGTTCAAGAAGTATTAGAAACAAAGAAATGAAAATTTTGGTAAATCAAAAAAAATTATACAAAAATGAATTGTGCTCATATAAACTAAAAAGGGAAACATAACTAGTTAAAAATTAAAGCTCCCTTTAGCATTACCACCACCACCAAAGGTAAATACTAATTAATAAACTAACAAATATTGAAAACCTATGTGAATGAAATTAGTAAGCTACCTAGGCACATAAGAGAAGAATGGAATAGGTTGCCTAGGTGGCTCAGTTGGTTAAGCCTCCAACCCTTGATTTCAGCTGAGGTCATGATCTTGCAGATCATGACTTTGAGCCTTGCATTGTGCTCTGTGCTGATAGCAGGGAGCCTGCTTGGAACTCTCTTGTTGCCCTTTCCTTCCTTGTGTGCACATGTGCATGCTGTGTCTGTCTCTCTCAAAAATAAACATTTGGGGGGGGGGGGGCAGAGAGAGACAGAATCGGAAGCAGGCTCCAGGCTGCACAGAACCCAATGCGAAGCTCAAACCCATGAACGGTTAAATCATGACCTGAGCCAAAGTCAGAAGCTTAATCGACTGAGCCACCCAGGCGCCCCTAAAGAAAAACCTTTAAAAAAATAAAATAAGAGAAAAATTGAATAAATGAAGAAGGATACTATGTTCTTGGATAAGACTTACAGTTTTTATTTTCTCAGTAAATTCAGTGAGATCTCAGTCAAAATCTTAACATGATGATTGTTAGGATCTAACAAAATCATTCATTGGGAAAAGTAGATATGTGCAAAGGGCCAGAAAATTTCTGAAAGAAGTTTTCAACAGACTGGACTAGACTAACAACTTTTAAACTGTATTATGAGCTGAAGTACATATAAAGGCTGGTATTAGCATAGGAATAGCTAGATCAGTGAAGTAGAATGAAAAATCTAGAAAGAATGCCAGACACAATAGGAACTGAGCATTTGTGCTGAAGGTGGCATTTCACATCAGTAACAAAGAAGACATTGAAACAACTGCTGTCTATTTGAAAAATCATCAGAATGAATTAAATGTGTCAGAGATCTAAATCCTTAAGAAAGAACCAATAGAGTACTTTAGGGATCTTTGCTGTTAACTTAATCTTACAATAGGAAAGGATTTTTCACGAATGACTATCCAGCATCCATAAAGGAGAAGACTGATAAATGTGATTACATAAAAGCTAAGATGTGGCCCAAACACCAGAATTTAAAAAAAAAAAGCACAGACAGGAAAATGACATACAGAGGACTGGTACCCCTAACACAAAATGAGTTGCTACAAATCTGTTAGACGAACCCATAAATATGAACATACAGGCACTTCACAGAAGAAATAGTAATAAACATGTAAAAGTATGTTAAACTTCATTGATTGTTAAATATACAGTAAAAAAAATTTATATTTTGAACTATCAAATTAATAGAGACTGTGATACTACCCAGTATTTAATAAGATAATGAAAAAGGACATTTTAAAAAAGTTATCAGTAGGAGTTATAGTAGTTTTGGAATATTATAACAGTTTCTAATGTGTCTAGAACAGACTTAGCTGTTCTGGTTAGTCACACAGGGTTGCAAATACATGTACAGAAGCACCTGTTCCTGCATTGTTTTAATAGCAAAAAAATAGGAATAGCCTAAAATGTACTGACATAAGGGTATATCCAAAATGCAGAGTGAAGGGAAGAAGTTACAACCCTATTTCTGTTAATAATAATCTTACATACATACTAAGGGAGTGTGTGGAATGGAAAATCTGCATGATTGTGTACCAAACTGCTAATAGTGGTTATGTCTAAGGAGTAGTGTCTCCTCCCCACCCCTGTAAAATTTGTCAAATATGGGAAGCATTTGGAAAAATAGCATTTTTCTTACGGGAGTTTGTCTTTGAGATTATTTTTTAAAGTGCACTAGCAGGAGTAAATAGATTTGCTTTCATTATTGAGGAACAAGGATAGTAGACTCTGATGGCTTGGCTTAATATTTTTCCTTTGGTTAGATTTACAATCTATATGCCTTCTATATTGCAGTGTCTGTTTATATTTAGGCATTGTATTGTTTTTATTAATCCACTTTTAAAATAATTCCAGTTTTGTGTAGGCATACATAGTGTCAGTGTCTCTAAATCATATCTGATACAAATTACTATTCTTGATTATTTACAAATTTTAATGGAGGAAAGCCTGGGTGGCTCAGTAGGTTGAGCATCTGACTCTTGGTTTTGGCTCAGGTCATGATCCCAGGGTTGTGGGATCAGGCCTTGCAAGGGACTCGGTGCTGTGCATGGAGCCTGCTTGAGACTCTCTTTCTCTCACTCTGCCCCTCTTCCCCCATCATGCTCTCTCTCTCTAAAATTAAAAAAAAAAAAATTACTGGAATCGATGGGAAAATTTTCTCTGCACACTGGCTTTATGTTTTATTGTTAATTTATAGCATAGAGTCACTGTATTCCAGGGCATTCGAGGGGAAGCTAAAATAAAATATTTCAGAAACTATCTTCTAAAGATTTTCCTAGATTTTCTGAAGATTTTTCCCCTCTAATATGTTTGAGAAATAGAAATTATAATAAAAGTCAGTTATAATACTTATAGCTTAATATCTTAAAGGATATACACACATAAAAGTTTTCAAGTTGGTAGCTACTAACAATATTTCAAGAGAATTTCCAGAAAGTAATGTTCTTGGCATCTTTTTCTTTTCTGTTTCTTAAATACGTTTTAGTACTTGGTTTTGCTTTTATAATTTTGGGTTTGGGTGTGTGCTTTTGCTTTTTATATAGGTTTCGTAAAATGAACAAACGCCTGGTTCCCAGAAGACCTCTGAGTGCCTCTTTGGGTCAACTTAATGAGGTGGGCCTGCCTTCAGCAGCTGTCCTTCCAGATGAAGGTGCAGTGGATCTGCCTAGCAGAAAAACCCCTGCTCTGCCAAACGGAATTGTATCAGCAGGGAACACAGTAACACAGCTGATTCCACGAGGGACAGACCCCACCTACGATTCTAGTCTGAAGCCAGGAAAGATAGATCATCTGAGCAGTAGTGCCCCTGGATCCCCGCCTGACCTGTACGTTATTTTTCCTAATTTTTATTTAAAATTTCTCCTTTCTAAACAAAGTAGAGAGAAGAAAGATAACCAGTATTCTGATTTAAAAAAAAAAAAAAAACAAAACTCATTTTTGGCTATATTTTATTTTCTATGCTAGTTCTTTTTAAGAAACAATTAGTGTAAGTGAAGTAAGATCAAAGTTTACAAATTTTGTAAAAGAAATGACTAACTATTAAGGCAAAAACAATTTTCCGGGGTGCTAGGTGGCTCAGTTGGTTGGGTGTCTGACTCTTGACTTTGGTTCAGGTGATGATCTCATGGTTTGTGGGTTCAAGCCCCATGTCAGGCTCTGCACTCAGAGCATGGAGCATGCTTGGGATTCTCTCTCTCTGCCCCTCGTGCTTACCCATGCATTCACTTCCCCCCGACCTCAAAATAAATAAAAAAAGAAAAACTTTCCCAAATTGAGGCTTTTTTTTTTCATTTAACAATATGTGTATATTAGAAGTATTTTTGAGACCTTAAAGTTGACCTTTGGAATTTTACTCTTTTAGGCTAGAATCTGTCCCTAAGAGTATTTCTGCCTTACCTGTGAATCCACATCCTGTACCTCCAAGGGGGCCAACAGACTTGCCTCCCATGCCTGTCACCAAACCCCTTCAGATGGTCCCACGAGGTTCTCAGCTCTATCCAGCACAGCAGGCGGATGTTTATTACCAGGACCCTCGAGGAGCTGCTCCGCCATTTGAACCAGCACCGTATCAGCAGGGTATTGGTCTTTTATTTATGTTGCTCACTTTTCTTAGGAGTTAGATCAATTCCAAGAAAGAGTGACCATATTTGCAGAAGCCTCAAGATAAACAAATGCATTTATTTAATATCGTAGAAAAAGTTGAGATTTTATGATCAACTAAATAGTATAAAATAAGTGAGTTAGCAAAGCTTTATAAGTAAGCCAATTGCCCAAATCACTGAAAGCTAGTTGTATATTAAATATGTGCATATATTTATGGAAATATGTCACTGAAGGAGATAATGGAAATTTGCCAAATAAGGCATTATATATTTTCCTGACCAAAATTTTCGTTGTGCATGAAAAAGAATTTAATATTACAGTGGGTACACACACTACATTTTTCCAGTTATCACCGAATACTTTTGGGGGCCCTGTAATATATTTGAAAAAAATGCAGCATACATAGTATAGAAAGGTGATAGTGTAAAATCAGTATTAATAAAGGATAGTGTGAGTGTTCATATGTTGTATATGTGTGTTTAAAATTAAGTGTTCCATTGTGGTACTGATGTTGTAGAGATTAACTGCAGGACTCAAGGGAGATCACTGAGAATAGAAGAATCAAAAAGTCTTTATGGAAGAATGCCCTAACTAGAGGTATGGGAATAGAAAAATAAATTTACAAACAAATTGCAAAGATGACAGTCTAGAGTCAAGGAGGAATAAGGAGAATGTTGTTAAACCAGGTTGTGAGTATTGAGGCCTGGATTAGTGTGGTCGGAGGGGAGGGATTATAGAAAATAGACAGAGTTGAAACATTAGCCAGTTTTATTGATAATACCAAGTCTGGATAATGAAGGAGCAGAGATGACCAAGAGGCTTACATACACAATTCCTGTGGAAAAATAGGAACACTGATTTTTAAATTAAAGTGTTGGGTCTTGGTCAGAGACAGTGTAGTGCTATTATTTTTTAAACCGGGGTAGATTAAAGATGATCTCCTTTTCCCCCCAGGCTGTTTAATTTTTGTTTTTGTTTTTCTAAGGCTGTTTTAATTTTGAATCAGAAATGCTTCTCTACTTTCAAAAGAATAGCTTTAAATTGGTCTGGCATTATCAATACACATACAAATATGACGGAAGTTTTTTGTATCTTCCTTTGGGCCATCCATCACAGGAAAAACTCAACTACTTTTGTTAAGGTGACCTTAAATAGCTTGTATACATTAAATACCTATGAGTCAAGTTCCAATAGCAGATAATAGAAATATTGTTGCTGCATTAAGCAGAAAGAGGTTTAATGCATGGAATTTAGGTGCCCACAAAATCAGTGGAAGTACTGGAAAAGTAGGCTTAAGCTAGCCTGCCAGGAGTGACTCTCAGAATTAGCTACTGAAAAAGCCTGTTACAATGAGGAAGCAGTAAAAATAGAAGTTTTGGGTCCTGCCTATGTGCCAGGATCACATTACTTAAAGGCAAAATTCTAAAAATTAGGAAGCTCCTACTACAACTTTTGTCTTAAGAATTCCAGAGCTACACAACAGCTACTACGTCTGAGCCGTGTTGCTTTCCAGTAAACTCCATCTCACATTCAGAATTCCTGTGAGCAATTTGTGGAACCTGAGTTTCAGGGAACTGTAGTCATTTGATTTCCAGTGTTCGTACTGCATTAAGACACACCAGAAGAATGGTCAACTGAGAGAGCCAGTCTCCTATTGCAGATTATAAATAGATTAGTTTTTTCAGTGACTTTAAGGATTAAGGTTAATTTTTGCTTATTTTTCCTATACTTAAGCGGAAGGGAAAACATGTAAAGAAATGGGTGGATTTTTTATTCCTTAGTGTTGAAATATTTCAAAAGGGAAAATATAAAAAAGTAGATTGGCTTACTGTTGCTTTTGATTCCTCTTGTGCATTGTGCAGGTATGTACTATACTCCACCGCCACAGTGTATGTCCCGCTTTGTCAGACCGCCACCATCTGCTCCTGAACCTGGCCCTCCCTACTTGGATCACTATCCACCCTATCTCCAGGATCGTGTAGTAAACTCACAGTACGGCACCCAGCCACAACAGTACCCACCTATGTACCCACCACACTATGATGGCCGCCGTGTGTACCCTGCTCAGCCTTACACAAGAGAGGAGATTTTCCGAGAAAGTCCTATTCCCATTGAGATTCCACCTGCAGCAGTACCATCCTATGTGCCAGAATCCAGAGAGAGATACCAACAGGTGGAGGGTTACTATCCAATGGCTCCTCATCCAACTCAGATCAGACCTTCGTACATCAGAGTATGCTGGGGTTTTTTCTTTCTGTATAGATTTGATTTGATTGTTGTTGCAGTGATATGCCTTTTAGCCATGGTAGTAACCCTTTGATAAATTCTTTTTTTATAAGAAACTTCCCCCCTTCCTTTTTTACATCTTTTCACAATTTGGGTAGGATTTTTTGGTATTATTTAACCATTAAAAGGGGGGGAAATCCCTTCTTAGTTTCTATACTTTAGATAGTTTAATGAACATTTCTGTATCTACATTTGACCCTTGAGCAATGCAGGCGTTAAGGGGAACAACCCCCCATGCAATTGAAAACCCATATAATAACTTTAGACTCCCTGAAGACTTAACTACTAATCACCCACTGTTGCCCAGAAGCCTTACCAGTAACATAAATAGTTGATTAACACATATTTTGTGTGGTATATGTATTATATGCTGTATTCTTACAGTAAGGTAAGCTATAGAAAAGAAAATTGTCAAAATCGTAAGAGAAAATATATTTACAGAATTGTACTTAATGAAAAAAACATCTGTATGAGTGGACCTTTGCCATTCAAGCTTGTATTGTTCAAGGGCCAATGATATTTAGAGATTATGGTCTCTGACTTAAGAAAAAGAAACTTAAATTACCTCTTTGGGAAATCCTCAAGAGTCTTTTTGGGCAGGCATTTGTTTTGGCTTGCTTTGTTGTAGTAAGTCTTAGGATTTTCACATGTTGAGATGAATATACAAGGTGCTGTCTATTTAAAATATGTGCTAAATGAATTAATATGTTCTGAAATTCTTTTTCAGTTTTTACTAATCTTTGCATTTTCAGGAGCCTCCTTATAGCCGGCTTCCTCCTCCTCCTCAGCCCCATCCTAGTCTAGATGAGCTACACCGCAGACGAAAGGAAATAATGGCCCAGCTAGAGGAAAGGAAGGTTATCTCTCCACCTCCTTTTGCACCTTCACCGACATTGCCTCCTACCTTTCATCAAGAGGAGGTAAGCACATCATTTTTAGTCCATTTATCAATTTTTCCTCCTTCATTGTTTTGTTGCATGTCTTGTTCAAGTAATCTTGGCTGTTTCCAAGATTATGAAGATATTTTCCTGTATTTTCTTCTAAAAGGTTTATTATTTTATTTTACAATTAGATCTGTAATCCATCTAGAATTGATTCTTGTTACTATGCTAGGAGTGAAGATCCATTGTTCCCCCATAGGATATCTCCTTTACCTAGCACCATTTAATGAAAGACCATCTTTTCTCTAGTGCCCTGCAGTCATCATTACCATAATCAGGTCACCTTTGTCCTAGTCAGGTGACTATAAAAGTTTTTGGACTCTATTCTGTTTCATTGATCTATTTCATCTGTCTTTGTACTTTGTACTCCTACCACATTGTCTTAGTGTAGCTTTATAATATATCTTTAGATGTGGTGACATACGCTTTCCAGTTTTGTTATTCTTTAGTATTACCTATGCTGTTCTTAGCCCTTGCAATTTCCAACCACATTTTAGAATCAGCATGTTGATGTTCACAAAAGTATCTGCTGCAGTTTTTATTAGGATTACGTCAAATCTCTGGATCTGTGCTGTCCGGTATGGTAAGCACTAGCCACATAGTGCTAACGAGTACTTAAAATAATGTAGCTAGTCCAGATTCAGTTGTACTATAAATATAAAATAAACACTGGACCTGAAGACTTAGTATGCCCCAGGAGTAAAACACTTCATTAATAGATTTCTTAATTGCATGTTAAAAATGATAATACTTTCGATGTGTTAAATAGAATATATTGGCAAAATTAATTTCACCTGTTTCATTTTTTTTTATGTGGCTGCTAGAAATTTTTAAATTATATATGGGGGGGTCTCATTTTATTTCCATTGGAAATTGTTGTTTTAGGTCCATTAAGGGAGAAGTGACATCTTGCTAATACTGTCTTCAAGAACATTGTATATCCCCCACTTACTTGGATCTTCTTTAACTTTTTTCAGAAATGTCATAGATCATAGTTTTCAGTGTCTTGTACATCTTTAATTAAACTTATTCCTAGATAAATGATAGTTTTTGAAGCTAATGGAATCTGTTTTGAAATCTCACGTTGTTACTAATATAGAGAAATTAAATAGATTTTTCTATATTGATCCTTGTGTTCAGCATTGTTGCTGAGTTTCCAGGTTGATTCTAGTATTTGTTACTGGACTCTTGGTTTTTCTGTAGACACAGTCAAATCCTCTGTGAATAATGACCATATGACTTTCTCTTTTTTCAATTCTTAGGTCTCTTCTTTTTCTTACCTTGTTGTCCTCGCTAGGTCCTTCACTATAATGTTGAATAAAAGGGATGACAGCAGCTATTCTTGACTTATTTCCAGTCTTTGAGCAAATAGAGCTTTTAATAAGTTACCATTATGATGTTTGCTGTAGGTTTTTTGGTAGATAATCTTTATCAAATTAATGAAACTCCTCTCTCTTGCTAGTGTTAGACTTTTAATAAGTAAGACACATCAAGGATTTATTTAACTCAGTAATGAGGAAAGCAGCAGGATGGTGACGTTGATCAAGAGAAAAAGAGAGACAGGCTAATACAGTGGTGTGAAAGGCAGCGAAAAACTGAAATAAAGTTGCTAAAATAAACTGGTTAATGTACTACAGGGCTCTAAAGCATAATCTTGGGTATTAACTTTGTGTTTCTGTAGGACAGTGGTGATTGTTAATCATGACTGCATGTTGTCTTATGATCTTTTTAATATCTATGTGGTCTTTGCTTGTGTTCATTTTTCCACTTACGATATTGATAATTTTTTTCTTGGTCTGTCTTGCTAAGGATTTATCCAAAAACAATTTTTTTCCCAAAAAAACAGCTTTTGCTTTGTTGATCTCATTTATTTATTTTGGTTTGTTGATTGTATGCAGTGCCTCAATTTACTGTGTGTGTGTGTGTGTGTGTGTGTGTGTGTGTGTGTTTTAAGTCAAGTAGGTTTTCTTAGGATTGCAGTTGATCTTATGTAAGGAAAACGTCTTACATCTTTTATGTATAGAATTATTCTAAACAAGTTTACTATCTGGCATATTGACAAGTGAAGTGTGTCACATTGCATACAATAAGCAGTAATCTTTTGGGTCTATGAACATGGTCTACTAATTAAAAGGTGTTCACAGTTACCCAGCTTTCCTATCTAAACACTTTAGATGAATTTTCCATAATAATGTAGGTTAACTAGTAAAATCATAACATCTTCTATTAAGGTAATTTTACTTGTAGGTATAAACGTTACAGAGAGAGAGCATGAGTTGGGGAGAGGGGCAGAGGGGGAGAGAGAATCTTAAGCAGGCTCCATGAGCTAAAATCAAGAGTCTGAGTTGGACATGGGGCACCTGGGTGGTTTAGCCAGTAAACATCTAACTTTGGCTCAGGTCATGATCTTGCACACTTGGTGGGTTCAAGCCCTACATCAGGCTCTGTGCTGACACCCTCAGAGCTTGGAGCCAGCTTCGGATTTTATGTCTTCCTCCCTCTCTGCCCCTCCCTCACTGGTTACGTTTTTTCAAACACTGTATTTTAGAGTCCTCCTAGAACGTAGTTAAGCCATACTATTTTATCAGCAATATGACACTGCAAAAAGTAAGCTACTTTTGGAATCAAACATAATTTATCTTTGAAGTTCAGCTGTGTTGCTCTGTGAGATCTTTTGTAAATTACTTAGCCTCCCTAAACTCTGAAGCTCTGGTTCTCCATTTGTAAACCAAGTGTAATTTAAAGCCTCCTTGACAGTGTTGTGGGAAAGATTCAGGAAGACATAAGGCCTCTGTCACATATCTAGCATTCAGTAAATAATAACTGGTTTTGGTTTTTTTTTTTTTACTTCTAATAAAAATCAGAATCCTTGCTATTAAGGAACTTTATCTAGAATTATTTTAGTTACTATTTATTACCTGAGTATATCCTTACATTATTTGTGTAATCTGATTATAAATAAACTACATATAATTGTACTAAATTCATACACTATAACTGTCTAAATATATTTCAACTTTCGTTTGTATGAACTAATGTATTATTTTTTAATAGGATCATTGACTACTATATTCTGAGGTTTTGTTTGCATTTTACATTTTTTTGTTTTTTCTTTTTACTTAACCAGTTACCCTGGACGTCTTTCTTTGTCAGATACAAACTTATCTCCTTCTTTTAACATGATCTCAGGGTTGTGGGATCAAGCTCCACGTTGGGGTCTGCACTGAGTGTGGAGCCTGGTTAAGATTCCCTTCTCTCTCTCTCTCTCTCTCTGCCCCTTTCCCCTGCTTGTATGTACGCTCTCTCTCTCTCAAAATAATAATAAGAAGAAGAAATCAATTTTTTTTTTAAAAGCTAGCTGTTCTACATGAAGTTTGCATTTGGAAGAGAACTAAAGGAGACACCCTAAAAAATTTTTTTTAAATAGAGGTAGGATAAAAAGTTTATAAATAATAGAAATAGGAGTTTTTGTTGAAAATGAGTAATATTTATAAACATCAAGACCCTCTGTCAGTGCAGAAAATCAATGATGATTCAGAAAAGATATTTTTTTAGATATGGGGAAGCATAGAGCCACTTAGATATACCAAAAGCCCCTATGTTATCAGTACATCACTGTATGTATATTAGTGATAAAGTGAAAGCAGTAGTAAAGTTCTAGTCACCTATGTTCTCATGGACTTGAGGAACATTGGAGATAGTATATGTAAAAGCACTTTGTAAAACATTACGTAAATGTGAATGTTGTGATTTTAGTAAATCACATTAGACTTAGGATAGCTATTATATAATTTCAGAACTCATCTTGAGAAAATTCAGTATCTTAATCATTTTTGCTTCACAGAAACAACTTAAGGACTAGAATTTATTTATTTAAAAATTTTTTTAAGTTTCTTTATTTTGAGAGAGTGAGAACATGAGCAGGGGAGCTGGGGAAGGGTGGGGGGGTGGAGAGAATGAATCCCAAGCAGACACCACACTGTCGGTGCAGAGCCTGATGCAGGGCTTGAACCCACAAACTGTGAGATCATGACCAGAGCCATGACCAAGAATCAGACACTTAACTGACTGAGCCACCCAGCCTCCACCAGAATTTATTTTAAATATGAATTAAGGACACCTGGGTGGCTCAGTCAGTTAAGCATCTGACTTCAGCTTAGGTCATGATCTCGTGATTCATGGGTACGAGCCCCACATAGGGCTCTCGGCTGTCAACACAAAGCTTGCTTCAGATCCTCTGTCAACCCCCTCTCTCAACTAAATAAACATTTAAAAAATATATGAATTAGTGCTATTGAAGAGATTTCTGTAAAGAAGTTGTATCATCATGCACTACACAAAACATTCTCAGTTACGTTTCAAGTAGTTTTTCGTGCTCTTGTTTACCTGGACTGTTATTGAAAGAAACATTGAGGAGTGTCTGGCAAAGCTAGGGCCTGATATGTATTTGCTTAAATGCTGATTTCCAGCCAATGAAGAAGAGGATGAGCAAACCTCCTCCAATCCTGGCTTGCTTCCTTAAAGGATATTGAGATACTTGTTTTTGACTCTCTACTAACAAAGAGTAAAAACTAAACATCTTTCTTCACCTGTTTTATATTTTTCAGTCTATAAAATTCTTCTGCTGTGACACAAATAACCATCACTGTGTTGCTCTAGCATAGTGTTATAAGAAATTCCTGCTTTCTGTGTGTTGTTACTTATAAGACTCATTTCCATTATGTGTATTTTTTTTCCATCTGTAGTTTTTGGATGAAGACTTGAAGGTAGCTGGGAAATACAAAGGAAATGATTACAGCCAGTATTCTCCCTGGTCATGTGACACCATCGGCTCCTACATTGGAACCAAAGATGCAAAACCCAAAGATGTTGTGGCAGCCGGGAGTGTGGAAGTGATGGTATGTGTAGTAACTAAGCCACCATTAATGCAAATCCAGATACACCAAAAATATGTCACCCCCTGTTAATAGTGCAGACACAAATAATTGAGCTTTACTTAAGAATTTCAAGCCATATTCTATATTATGTGTTTGAATTAGGTTTAAACTGTGGGGGTTTTTTGTTTTGTTTTTCAGGTATAAAAATAAGTCTTCTAGTGGATATGTAGATAGACAAAGAAGAACATCTAGTAATTTCTGTGCAGCCAACAACCCAACAGCTATTTAGAACCAGAATTAAATTATTTTGCATAATCAATCAGGATCTTGGATTTCTTGTCCAAATAAATTAAAACTCTGAAGTTTAAACAACAAAGCTGAGTCTAGTGAACAATAGTTTTTGAGTCAGAATTGCAGCTAATAAGCTTCCAGTGGATTGTGGTACATTGAAATATATTCTACTTTTTCTGTTTTAATGTTTAACAAAAAATAATGTAACAACAGTATGTATAATATCCAAGCTTAACATATATAAATATCTGAATTGCTTCTTCATTTTTTAAAGAAATAAAGCTTTATAGAAATAGTGAGATCTTCCTGTATATACCTCCCTAATCTCCTTTTACTTCCTTCCTTCTTCTCTGGAGGTAACCTTTATCCTGATTTGAGAGTTATTCATTTCATGGATACTTTCATACTATTCCTAAAAAGTTTTGTATGCTTTTAGGCCTTATATATATTATATATATATGGCTTGCAGTCAGTCACCTTTTGTGTCTGAGATATATCCAAATTCATAGGTCAGGTTCAATCATTTTAACTTTTTATCAAATACCATTGTAAGATAACTGGTATCGTACAGTAAATATATATACAAATTATTATTTGTTCCTTTTCCTGTTAATGGACATTTAGGCTAACTTTGATCTTTTACCATTATGTACTGTGATGTATTACAATGAACGTTTTTGTGTGTTTCCTTGTGTACATGCATTAGTTATGCTTAGAAGTGGTATTGTTATGTTTAAAGGTATGTCTGGACTATTACTCTTAAGCCATTTAGCCCTTATTAGCCTAACTGAAGATCTCTAGAATATTATACAGCTTTTCCTAGACAAATACTTGTCCAGCTGCTTAAGAGAAGACCAGTTCTTAGTAATAGAAAAGTAAGACTTGGATGCTAATATCATAAATGAGTGAAATGATATCTATAGCATAACTGTGATTAAATGCCAGCCAAAAAGAGAGAAAGAAAGGGATTGGGGAGGGGGAGCAAAAAATTTGACTCTTTTATTTTTCTGTGGTGGGATTAGGGAAACATTATTTAGAAAACATCCTTTCTAAGGGCATTGGGTGGCTCAGTTGCTTCAGTGCCCAACTTCAGCTCAGTCATGATCTAACGGCTGGTAGGTTTGAGCCCCATGTCAGGCTGTGTGCTGACAGCTTGGAGCCTGCTTAAGATTCTATCTCTGTCTCTCTGTCTCTCTCTCTCTCTCTCTCTCTCTCTCTCTGCTCTTCCCCTGCTCACACTCTGTCTCCCTCTCTCTCCCAAAAATAAGCCAATATTAAAAAAGATAAAAAAGGAAACATCCTCTCTAAGAACAGGAGTGGGATGAGGTGGAGATAGACAGGAACACTTGCTTTGTACCTGGCTTTCAGAAACGGTTCTTATGTTAAGTAACAAAAATAAGCAAAATAAAACTCATTTCCTTAAGTCACTAAAGACTAAAAGTGTTTGTCATACTAACCTAGACGTAATTGAAAATCTCACAAATGGTAAAGGACAGTGTTTTTCAAGCATGCATATAAATTACCTTGGAGTCTAATTAGAGCCGGTTAAAGTGCAGGTCCAAAATCAGTAAGACTGGAGTGGGACCTGAGACTCTACTAATGAGTTCCCAGGTGCTGCTGCTGCTGCTGCTGCTGCTGCTGCTGCTGGTCCTAGAACTATAGTTTGAGTAGCAAAGATCTAGCAGTTGAATTTCTGTTCCCATTTATTTTGGCACTTCTTTCTAATTGGAATCCCTTTGAAACATCTATGTTGGCACTTATATTTTTAAGCGGTGGTTTTCTAACTATTGAGTTTTGAAATTGAGTGGGGCATCATGGGCCTTTTTTTTTTTTTTAAAGAAATAAGTTCAAATAACAATATAAATATGAGAGTACATTACATATGATAAGAAGTAAATATTTGTCATAAAATTATATCTATATATTAGAATGTGTGGATGTACCTAGTCATGATGTAAAATATATTTTTTATTGTGGGGAGTGATCAAAGGATTAAAAAGTAGTGTTTATTACTATGACAAGCAAATTATTTTAGTCCACCAGTAAGAACATTATACTCTTTTTTTTTTTAATATTTTATTTATTTTTTGAGAGAGAGATAGAGACAGCATGAGCAGGGGAAGGTCAGAGAGAGGGAGACACAGAATCTGAAGCAGGCTCTAGGCTCTGAGCTAGCTGTCAGCACACAGCCCGATGCAGGGCTCGAACCCACCAACCGTGAGATCATAACCCAAGCTGAAGTCCGACGCTTAACCAACTGAGCCACCCGGGCGCCTCCACCCCGCCCTTTTTTTTTTAACCTTACCACATAGCCGGAGGAAGTAATGTTAGAGATCTAAGTGTGGGGTGGATTTCTCATTTTACTTCTTACCAGAATGTGGAGAGTAAAGGAATGAGAGACCAGCGATTGGATCTTCAAAGAAGAGCAGCAGAAACCAGTGATGATGACCTTATCCCTTTTGGAGACCGACCAACCGTATCTCGGTTTGGGGCCATCTCTCGAACCTCGAAAACAATATATCAGGGTGCTGGTCCAGTGCAGACTATGGCACCTCAGGGAGCTCCCACAAAACCTATTAACATTTCAGGTAAGAATCGTAGGTAAACTGATCTACAGGTTCATACTCATGACCTTCAGCACCCTCCCTACTCCCTATGTGTGATCAGTGCTTTCCATAATCTTCCAAGACCATAATCTTATAAACTCTTCCAGGGAATTATCCCCATAGAAAAGTAATTGTAACCCAGGGAATTCTAAGGGTATAGACAAACAGATGAAGATTACCTGTGTTTTTGTTGTTTTTTTGTTAGCTTCATTGCTATTATTAAAATAATACATTCTCATTTTTAAACATTGAAACACTTACAAGGGCTGATTATCTTTCAGTGGGGGGAAAAACCATCAATGCCCTCTTATCATATTGGTAGACATCTTTCCAAAGAGCTGTGTACACACAATGCCTATGCCTTTTAGATTATGGCCACCTTCAAAGAGTCGACTCTGAATTGCATCATAGCACCGTAAACTATTCTCTTGTAGATTATAGTCCATATGGAACCCACAGTGGCTGGGGAGGTTCTCCGTATTCACCTCATCAAAACATACCTTCTCAGGGACACTTCAGTGAGAGGTAGGAGTCATCCTTTTTAGTTTTACAAACCTTTGAAATTATTCAGCTTTCTTACTTGTTTTACTTGTCAATAATTTTTATTTATTTACTTACTTATTCATTTACTTATTTTTAAATGTTTATTCATTTTTGAGAGAGAGAGTATCCGAACCAGGCTCTGTGCTGACAGCAGCAGGCCCGATGTGGGGCTCAAACTCGCGAGCCGCGAGATCATGACCTGAGCCGAAGTCGGATGTTCAACCGACTAAGCCACCCAGGCGCCCTGTCAATCATTTTTATATTTTTCATAGCTAAGTAACAGTTTTATGTTGGAACAGTAGTAGATCAAACCTTGTTTGTTTTCTTTAATTTTTTTTTCAATTGAAATATAGTTACACAAAATATTACATCAATAATATATTTTTTAATAAAGTTAAAATTTATTTCACCCTTTCTTTCCCACGCAAGGGACAGAATGTCCATGTCAGAAGTAGCCAGTCATGGAAAACCCCTTCCATCTGCTGAGCGGGAACAACTACGACTAGAATTGCAGCAACTAAACCATCAAATTAGCCAGCAGACCCAGCTACGTGGACTAGAGGTACCAGCCTACAGATATTTTTTTCATTCCATTTTTTGAAGTGTTCTCATAGAGGTTTTAAAAGGAAGAACTTTGAAGGTACTGTGAACCAAAAAACTTAAGGTCTATTTCATAAAGAGTTAGTATAGGTCTCCATTCTTCCAAGAATTTAAATACTTAAGAGTTCAGTGTGGGACAATAGGAAATTTAGAATTTCTATTCCATGAGAATAGAAAACAGGGAGCTTATGTTCCCTGATGGCACATTTAACATATACAGTTTTTATCAACAAATGCCTTTAGCTTTACATCTGTTTTTATTATTTTTTAATTTATTTTTTAAAAGTTCTTTAGATATTTATTTTTGAGAGAGAGAGAGTGTGAACAGGAGAGGAGTAGAGAGAGAGGGAGACACAGATATGAAGTAGGCTCCAGGCTCTGAGCTGTCAGCACAGAGTCTCACACAGGGCTTGAACTTCCAATAGCAAGATCATGACCTGAGCCAAAGTTGTCTGACTCAAAGTCAGTCTGCCGACTGAGCCACCCAGGTGCCCCTAATTAATTTTTTTAAATCTTTATTTATTTTGAGGGAGAGAGAGGGCACGTTGGCACATGCGTGTGCAAGCAGGGGAGGGGCAGGTTGAGAGGGAGAGAGAGAATCCCAAACAGGCTCTGAGCTCTCAGCACAGGCAGACCCCAGTGCGGGGCTTGATCCCATGAACTGTGAGATCATGATCTGAGCCGAAATCAAGAGTCAAACACTTAACCAACTAAGCCACCCAGGTACCCCAACATTTGTTTTTAATTTCTCATATTTCTTTTCTCAATTATAAAAAGTTTCTCTTATTCCCTTTAATCCTTGGCATTTATTTACAAATGTTTAGAAAGTAGAAGCTTAGTGGGGCACCTGGTCAGTCAGACAGTTAAGTGTCCAACTCTTGGTTTAAGCTCAGGTCATGATCTCATGGCCGCCCTGTATTTTGCTCTGTGCTGACAGTGTGGAGCCTGTTTGGGATTCTCTCTCTTTCTACGTCTCCCCCATTTGCGTGCGCTTTCATTCTCTTTCTCTCTCTTAAAGTAAATAAAATTTTTTTTTTTTTTAAGTAGAAGCTTAGAACTTGGACTTAAGCATAGCCTCTGTATAACAATTGTACCTTTCATTAATAGTTTTTTCAATTTATAAGTTGCTATCATATATCCTGCTTCCCTCTTATAATATATCTTCATAGGTCTATTAGGGCAAGTGGTATAGTCCCGCTCTTCTGGTTGAAGGATAGGAGTTTCACAGAGGTTGAAATACGAATCCAAGTCTTCATACTCCATATTCAATGTTCTTTCCATCACACTGCTTGACACTTAAAGAGAAAAAAATAGGTGAAAACCAAGAATTTTAAAAAGCCTTTTAAGTGCCATGTAAAGAAGGCTAGGTTTTGTTAATATTACCCTTTACATGAAGCATAATCTTTGACTTCAGTAAACTGAAGGCTTTCTTCTGATAAATACATTTTCCCCTTCTGGAGAAAAAAAACACTATTAGAACATTAGTCTTTACTTTCTACCAAGACCTTTAATAAGTAAGGCATCTCCTTAGAAATTAAATTTTTTTGGGTGGGAAATAAATTTTTAACTAATTCTATCTTAAACTCTTATTTTTTTTTTCAATGTTTTATTTATTATTGAGACAGAAACATAGCATGAGGATGGGAGGGTCAGAGAGAGAGGGAGACACAGAATCCGAAGCAGGCTTCAGGCTCTGAGCTGTCTTAGTTGAAATTTATAGATCAGTTTTCTGTTCCAAAAGAGTATGTATCAGCAGCATTTGGAAACTTGACATGTATTTACCTCGTTATGGTTAAAAATCCTTGCCATTACTGAGGTTTCATTGAAGTAAATTGCAGGATTTACTTCAGAAAATTCCATTAAAAAGGAGGGAAAGATGTACATTTATACTTGGTTTTCAAATAAGTGCAACTTATACCTAAGATTAAATTACTCTTTACTAAGTTTAAGTCCCCTATGTTTTCATTTTAAATTCAGATGGTACTCAGACCGTGCTTTATCATTGCATCATTTTTATTGCAAATATCTTAGTGAAAAGCTACTTGAGGCGTGGTCTGGAATTGGGCCTGGTCATTCTGTGCATGGTGTGAAATGTGTTGAGTTGTGTATGTGCTTGGCTTTATGCACTAGGCTGTTAGTAACAGGCTGGTGTTGCAGAGGGAGGTGAGCACCCTGGCAGGCCAGTCCCAGCCCCCACCACCTCCTCCAAAATGGCCTGGAATGATTTCAAGTGAGCAGCTGAGCTTGGAACTGCACCAGGTGGAGAGGGAAATCGGGAAGAGAACCCGGGAACTGAGTATGGTGAGTATTATGGTGGGAAAAGGTGTGGCCAGAGGTGTGGGGGGTGGAGGGGGGGGGTGCTGTGGGAGGGGACAGGAGAGCCTCTGTGTAGCACCCGGCTCTAGGCTCCTCACTAGAGCTCATCATCCAGAGCACTCCAATGAGGAATTAATACTTAGAATAAGTCTTATGAAGATGGAATGCCTCCCTGTTTTATTCATTCCTCTCATTCCCTTTTGGTTTGAGTGTATTCTTTGTCTCAATGACTCTGCATTATGAAAAGACTTTCAGGGAAAACAGGTAGTTAATTGGAGGTTATTAAATTACTGTTAAACATACTGACTAGGGAAGCAGAGGGAATGGTGTTTAGGATTTTGTAATACCATCATGTTATGTATAATAAAAACTTGTATTCACAAATAGCATTCAGTTTTTATAGCCCTTTGGTTATTGCAGACCTGTTTGTTATGAATGAAGTGCAGTTTTCACATTCCTCCTTGAGGAATTCTATCCATGAATGTGCTTGGGGGTTGCTTCTTAGCTCACTAATACTGATTCTGGTAAATTGTCTATCTCCTGGGTTGGAACCGTCCCCCAGGTTGCATGGTAATTGACCTTTTTTTGCATACTTTTCACACTCATTCTAAGCAGATGAATGGGGCGTTTTGTTTTTCTGCTTCCAATAAGTATATTATAGGTAGTTATTATATTTTGGCTTGCCCTTTCTAAGTCATCCGTTTTTCTAACTTGAGGCATTCTCCCCCTTGTTTTCTAGCTTGTTTAGTGAGCAAGTGTAGTGTGTTATTATGTATGTCTCTCTCAGGCTGCCTGTTTCTTTGGTCGTTTCATAAAAACTGAAGATGATTTATGAATCATCAATGTGTATTATCTGCATTTGGTCTTCTTTCATTAGCACCATTAAATAGCAGATAATTGAATTTACTTCTTTTTCCAAGGAGAACCAATGTTCTCTGGACATGAAAAGCAAATTGAATACAAGTAAGCAAGCCGAAAACGGACAACCAGAACCACAAAATAAGGTTCCAGCTGAGGACCTTACGTTGACATTCAGGTAAAGAAAGGGACATTTTCGTAGTCGCATATTACTCAGTCCTGACAGAAGTGCCCTCATAAATATGATTTGATTTTTAAAATATTATTCTGTGTACATTGAGAAAAGAATATTTTTGTATAAGTTTAATTATAAAACTTATTTATTTTTATGAGTTATAAAACTTATCTTAGAATCCAGAATTGAATTATCTGTTAATACCTAAGGAATGAATTTTTCTGGTTCCATTTCCTTCTTTCCCCTGTATTTTAATTTACTTAAAACCAACATACACACTTTGGTGTATATATTTCCGGTCCTTTTAAAGCGTATGGGTATTTAGCCTCTTTCAAATCCACCTTCCACACCATTTCCCCCTCCCCTTTTAATGTTTATTTATTTTGAGAGAGAGAGAACCAGCATGGGGAGAGGCAGAGAGAGAGAGAGAATCCCAAGCAGGCTCCGTGCTGTCAGCACAGAGCGCATGCGGGCGGGACTTGAAACCACGAACTATGAGATCATGACTTGAACTGAAACCAAGAGTGGGGACACTTACCTGACTGAGCCCCCCAGGCACCCCTCCTTTGGGTATTTTGGAGGCATTTGCTGCATAGTCCTGAGTTGCCCTCCTGGTGAGAATATAATAATCATTTCTAATGCCCTGTTGCTTTCAGGCTTTGGTTTTCAGTATTTAAACCCACGTGTTATCCTGGGTTCAAAATAATTTCTTATACTAGTAAGCCTGCTAAAGCAGGAGTCAGAACTTTTTCTTAAAGTCCAGATAGTAAATATTTAGAATTATGAGGTTTATATAGTCTGTGGAAACTCTCGGCTCTGCCATTGTAGTGTGAAAGCAGCCATAGACCATACATGCACAAATGGTCAGGCTGGGTTTCCATAAAACTGCTCTCAGGAACCAGGCAGCTGGTTGGCGTTGGTTTGCCAACCCCTGTGCTAAAGCATGATATGGGGCTGTAAATTAAAAGTTTAAAACCTAGTTGCATATTTTTCCATACTATTAAAAGAAAGGCCCCGTTTGGGTGCCTGAGTGGCTCAGTCGGTTAAGCATCCAATTTTGGTTCAGGTCATGATTTCACGGTCTGTGCATTCGAGCCCTGCGTCGGGCTCTGTGCTGGCAGCTCAGAGCCTGGAGCCTGCTTCAGAGTCTGTGTCTCCCTCCCTCTCTCTTTCTGTCCTCTACCCTCCCCTGCTCGCACTCTTGTTTCTATGTCTCTCTCTCTCTTCTCAAAAATAAAAAACATTTTTTTTAAAAAGGCCCTGTTGATTTTATTCTACTAATCATTTTTGTCTATCATTAATTAAAATTCCAACTTTTTTTTTTTAATGTTAACAGTGATGTACCAAATGGATCAGCTTTGACACAAGAGAATATCAGCCTCTTGTCAAACAAGACCAGCTCTCTGAACCTGTCAGAGGACCCTGAGGGAGGAGGTGACAACAATGACTCACAGAGATCGGGAGTCACACCCAGTTCTGCTCCCTAAATTATGAAGCATCCTGCTTTTACCTTCTGCTCCTGATCAATTTGTGGGGCGTAGGGGTAGGAGAACAGACACCTTGAAACTGTTTCTCTGCGAGCGGTCAGAGAAATCCAGGAAGAGTACCGGAGGCGATGTGCACAAACACCACTACTAAAAACAAACCCTGCACATAGTTCACATTAATGCATTTTTTTAATTTAAAAAAAAAAAAGAAAAAGAAAATTAGCAGTATCTGCAAGCAATTCAGATTAAATTTGTTTTTGTTCTGTGAATGAACTTTATTTTAATAACTTTGGACGCCTTGGATCCAGGGCTTAAAAAAAAGAAGATATTATATATACACTCTGTTTGATTAATTGTATGATCTTAATGAAGTAGGTTTTTCTTGTATTTTGGTATTATTACATACCCAGTGTATAATTCCTTACCCCTATTCCTTTCCAGCATTCACAACCCCATAAATTAAAACACACAGAAAGCACCGGCCTGTTTGAGAATTCTGTGTTGCTTGAGAAACAAAGAGACAGTAGTAGACTACTTATTAGAAAATGTGCAGCAAATCAACTTTTCCAAGAGTCATTACTTGAAAATCATCATTTTCTTTCCCTTTATGGTTACTAACTTGATGTGTGTTTTTCATATGGCACTAAAACTTTTTGGTGTTCAGGAGGGTTTTGTTTTGTTTTAGTTTTTATTTCAACTTTCCAGTGAGATAATTACCAATTAATTTTTGAAGTCCTTTTTTCCATATGATGGATCCTTTCATTTTCTTGATGTAATCAGAAAAGCCAGGCCACTGTTTTAGTATGATTAGATTTAAAAGCAGACCGCTTTAAGGATGAACTATAATTTATTAGTCCTGGGAGGTACATGGTTGGTATATTACCTGTATGGAGCTACTGGTTAGAAATTTGGAGCTGTGCTTTTTCACATTTTAAACTTTCGCTAAAATCCTGGAATGTTAATAAAACAGGAAAACCAACCGTGTTTTAAAACAGCTACACTTGAACTGAAAATGAACAGTCACATTATTTCAAGGGACATTTTTGTTTTGTCTCACTGTCAAAACCCAAAAGTATAAAATAAAATGAAAGCCCCTGGCTTTCAAATAGATTTGGCAGCTGCAGACTGTCTGTGTCTTAAGGTTAGTTAATGAATTGACCAGTTGTCGCTGATCAGAATCTTAGTACCAGTAGGTAATAAGTACCTAAAGTCAGTTTTCAGAGACCTGACTTTACATTAGTGACAAGATTCTTTATGAAGTTCTGCTGCACATATTCTGATGCCATGTGTCTATACTGAACCAAAACCCTATACAGCATGTTTCGTGGTGATTATTTGATATAGTCACCCTCCCCATCCCTCTGTTTACCTGATTTTTAAAATTTCCCTTCTTGGATTATACTACTAAAACAGAAAGCACTGGTTATGTAATAAGTTACTGCATTGCTTTGGTTGGGTAAAAGCAAGAGTTTGTATTTTTCTTGTTTCTTATTTTCTTAACCCTTAACTCCTGCTGGGGTCATAACAACCTCAGTGTAAGCTCTGTGTCCATCATACTGTTATCTGAAACAAATGGGGTGGGGGGGAGGGAAATACAGTCCTGCATTGCCTACCAGTAGGAGAGTCCAAACAGAACACTCTTTTGAGTAGCGATTATTTAATTTGCCCAGTCAAGGCACCGTGTTTATATACTATTTCACATTGAATTTGATTATGCCCTACAGACCTGGCTGGTCAAGGATTTGATATACACATATTGGCTTGGGATTCGAGCTTTCTTTTTTATTTAAATAAAAATTTATATATATTATATATATATACATATATACATAGCTATATCTGTATATATATTGGGTATGTTTTAAGGATTTTTTCGCATGAGCGCAGCTGTTGCGATAAAATGACTGATTGGGAGGTAGAAGCACTGAATGAAGATGATGCATTTCTTCAGTTGATATCCATATTTTCCTTTTTAAAAAAATACACTTGCTTTTTTTGCTTTTTTTTGTTTGTTTTCTTTTTTGCTTAAAACCCTCTTATATGTAAGTGCTTATTGTTTTTTGGGAGAAGGAGAGAAACTGTGTGTGTCCAACAGAGTCCCAAGATTTTTCATTTCTTTGTATAATCATAAAAGGCAACATTCTTGGCCTCCAACCTTCTGTAGGCAGATTTGGGCAGATCTTATTCTCCTTTGGACATGTTAGATAATTCCTAATTTTAGAAGCAGTCGGTTCAATTTGGAACTCAGAATGATTTTGGTATTAGAAGAGAATTTATGAGTATTGATTTTGTTGAAGTTCAGAATAAAAGTAAAAGTCCATTTTGGGTATCCATTGAAATACCTAATAAACCAACTTCTGTTCTTGTTCTTATATCCTTCAGATATACACCTTGCTTTCGCCATTTTGATTTTGTAAGCTAGGCAGGAATAGGCATGAACTTACATAGTATTCCTGCTCTGAGTAAAACCAGAAAAGTCACTGTTTTGAATTTGACTTAAAATCATCTCTTTCACTTTTCAAGGTGACTTCACTGGGGGGGTGGGGGTCAGGGCAGACAGATCTCTTAAATTGTAGCCTTAATTCTAGCTGCACCTCAGGAAGGTACCACACACTCGAGAGAAATCTGGTTGGGTAGAAAGGCAAAATGATACCCTGCCCCATTGTGCCTGTAACTTACCTGTTTTAAACTGGTAATTCTGCCTTATCTCATGGAAATTCTTAAAACTTTCCTAGTGTTCACAAGCAGTTTTAGGAATTAAATCAAACTTCCAAAGTTTGGATTTTTTTTTTTCTTTTACCTTTCTCTGTGGTACACTTTGCGGTATGATGAACCTGTAAGGGTAAGTGGCCTGTTTGGGCAAAGCTGCTTGACTCTTTAACTGCTTTTTTGTCAAAACCTGTGAAAGGCATTGATTTTTTTTTTTTTTTGGCTTTTTTTAAAAAATGCCTGCCTTTAGAGACAGTAAAGAGATTAAATCAGTCAGATAGGAAATACAGTTTTTATGCTTTCTACTTATTAAAATATTTATTTCTTCTGGAGATGACTTTGCTTTTCACTGAATTCAGAAGCAAGACTCTGACATCTCAGATGAACATGAACAATTCTGAGAAGGTTAAGGTAGGAGTATAATAAGCATTGTGTTCACTCTTGTTTAGATTACAAAACTAGGATCTTATTTTCTTTTAAAACCAGGATCTTATTATAGCTAGGAATACAAAAGTACTTTGACTTTTTTTTTTCAAGGTATCTCTGGAAAGGGGTATTAGAACTCAGAATAAGATATCTACATGCAGTTTCCTAACTTATATGTAGTTATTTTGCCTTACTCCTAGATATTGTCACAAGATAAGTCCAAGATAGCTGCCCTGTCTTGGGTAATTTACAGAAGCTGAAGTGACCAAAGATCCATTCTTTGTTACTTTTGTAATCAAAAGAACAGTTAACTATAGCATAGGTTTCTAGTAATAGTACTCACATGATAAGACACTATTTCTAATGCCAGCTACAAATATTCTACTACTCAGAATGTATAAAAATTATTTGGTGTGACATTAATGTGGCTGATTCCCTTCTCTCGTCTTATCTCCCTTCCCTTCTCCTAGTCTTTCCCTTGTATTTATTCTTTTGCCTAAAAGACATAGACTTGATATGATTCTCATTTGCTACCATGAATATGTATCTCCATCAGCCTTTCCATAGATCTTCAGGGTTGGAGCTCAAGGTATTTTTTTCCTGGCCCTTTTCTATCTTGCAAATTCCCCCTTGACCTACCCACTGCCCTCCCCAATCTGCAACAGTGACAGTTTGCTGCCTCAAAACAGAGCATTCAAATGAATTCGCTTAGCCAATAACTTCTGTGAAGTTGCCTTTTCTAATGGTGTTATTACTCAGTGATGCACAAATGTGGTATTTGCCCTACTGGTAGGCAAACAAAGGTCTGGTTAAGAATGGTAACCTGCTGTTTTCTTTAAAGGAGAGCCAAAGACTTGTGCTTTACTCTGTTTTGGTTTTGGGGGAAATAGCCATTTTGGTTGTGAAACTTTTAGTATCTGTGAGTTGATTGTACTGTTTAAGTAGATTTATCTAAGTTAACTGTTAAAGGTAGCTGGCCTTATAAAATGTAAAAGTTATGAAAATTCATCAATTTCTCTAAACCAGTGACTGTCATCTTTTACACTATTGTGTATAAGCAGTCCCCCTGTTTTTTGAGATTATCTTGTCATTATAGCACCTTGTATGTTTCGGTGTTTTACTTGTGTCTGAAGGACAATCTGTATCATTGTGGTCAAGCTGTGGGACTGGGTAAAAAAAAATTCATGAGCATGTGACTGGTGAGAAATAAACTATAGTCACTGCATGTAAGATTATATTCAGATTTGGAGAAAAACAGATTCTCTTCACTAAAAAGTATTTGCTATTAAATACAAATGGTGATGGATAGAGGTCTTACCATCTTTTTTCTACTTTCTTTTTGCTGATTTTAAAGAATTGAGTAAAGATTTCATATATAAAGTCTATCTGGAAAGAAGTACCTATAATGACCCATATTTTATTAAAAGGAAAGACCTGGTTACGTTTTAGGAGAAATTAATAATCTGCCTGGAAATTAACTGCAGCCTTTACTCGGATTTATACCCTGAAAGAGCCTGATTGTGTTTATTCTTTAGTGAGTGATACATGGTTATAGTGTTGCAAGATGATCTGTTCCCAGAAAAATCAGCCTGTCCTTAAAAATTTTAGCAACTAAACTAAAGCAAATTTTCCTTTCGACATTAGGGAGAGGACACATAAGCAGTGTAGTGGTGTCCTCACTTTGTGTTGCTGTTCCTCTTCCATACCGTTCTGCCTTGGGCAGCTATGACTTTTCTATTTATTTGTTGCTTCAGCTCAGCTTTATGAAATTTTCCTGCTGAAATTCCTTACGGGGAGTGGCAGGTGGATTGCAGTTAATAGATTTGTTAATTCTTAATTCACCTTTTCTGAGCCATTTGAAAAAGAAAGCAGTTTTTGGCAAGGTACTATTGTAGTAAATACCAACTTAAGATTTGGTTTTTAAGATTTTATTACTTTGACTGCTAAACATGCTTTCCTATATAATAGATTCTAATTTGATAAGTAATACTAGCTATAATGTTAGTAAGGAACAGGACACTGCCGCCACCACCAGGAAGAAGTTACATCTTTTAATAATAAATGTGTTCCCAATAGGTGGATTTTCCATACTGCA